AAATAGAGTAGTCCTAGATTGAGCTGGATTTTTTAGCATGTATACATTACTGAAACAGCAAGCTTTATGTTGTCTTGGGCATGTTGTGAGAATGGCTGATGGTCGGATTCCAAAAGCTATCCTGTATGGAGAATTAGTGCAGGGAACTCTCCTCAGAGGGAGACCACAGCTGCGATACAAGGATATCTGCAAGCGGGATCTGAAGGCCTTAGGAATGGACCTCAACAGATGGGAAACCTTGACATCGGAGCGTTCAGCCTGGATGCAGGCAGTGCACCACGGCCTCTCCCAATTCAAGGAAACCCTTGTCCAGCAGGCCGAGGCAAAGAGGCAGTCCCAAAAGCAGCAAAATCAGGGAGCTGGACAGGGGACAGATTGTATTTGTCTTCAGTGTGTAAGGGATTGTCACTCTCAAATTGGCCTTCTCAGCCACACTAGTCGCTGTTCCATGTCCTCCATACAGAGCACGTTACCATAGTCTCTCGAGACTAAAGGATGCCTAATCTAATCAGGCAGAAATTGAGGGATTCATATATTGAATCCAAGACCATTTTTTTGTACTAGGTACTACAAGAAAATAATTATGAAGCAAGGTGTGATACATGTTGGGCCTGGTATGAATCCTTAGGTGGATGCCCTAAGCTAACCTGTTTCCCCCAAAATAAGACCAAACTTGAAAGTAAGCCCTAGTATGATTTTTAGGATGCTTGTAATATAAGCCCTACCCCAAAAATAAGCCCCAGTTAAGTGAAACCCCTTCCTCCACCATTGTGCAGCAGCCAGAAGAAGATGACATGACTGTATTTGAATAAATATAGATGGTTGTACAGTGGTGCCTTGATTGCGAACATCCTGACATATGACCATTTCTAGTGAAAATAAAAAAGCCAATTGAAATGCATTGAAAACCTTTCAATGCATTCCAAAGGGCTTAAAACTCAACGTCCAGCAAAGATCCTCCATACGGCGGCCATTTTCGCTGCCTGTATAGCGAGGAATCCGTCCCTAAACACAGCGGGGAGCCATTTTATTTACCCCACAGCCATTTTGGAACCGCTGATCAGCTGTTGAAAAATCATTTTGCGAAGAATCGGTTCCCGAAGCAGGGAACCGATCATCGCAAAGCAAATCATCATAAAGCGGATTCGTCGTAATGCGGGGCAATCGTAAAGCGAGGCACCACTGTAGATTGTTGTACATGAAAAAAAATCCTCTGAAAATAAACCCTAATGAGGTTTTTGGAGCAAAATTAATATAAGACCCTGTCTTATTTTCAGGGAAACATGGAGGAAGCTGAATACCTTCCCTATGTGTTGTCTCCGACGCATTTTTGATATCACCTGACAGGACATGGCTATATCTTATGCATTACTTGCGTCCTTTTCTCCATGTTATAAATTCCAGCAACTCCAATTTTAGGAAATGAAACAGCAGTACTGCCCAGGGATAAGGAAGTTATCCTGGATAAAACAGTTGAGTTTCAGTCAGCCGGATATTATACTTCTGGATAAGCAATGAAGAAAAACATGCCTTATAGGAGTTGGAGTTCCCTCAACAGACAACCTCAAAAGTACAGCAAGTACAGTATACCAATAGCATAGTACCAAATATTAATCAGCCGGATATTATACTTCCGGATAAGCAATGAAGGAAAACATGCCTTATAGGATTTGGAGTTCCCTCAACAGGCAACCTCAAAAGTACAGCAAGTATACCAATAGCATAGTACCAAATATTAAGGCAGGAAATTAAAAGAATATGGAAGCAAGATCAAGTTGTCGTCCTTCCTGTACTAATTTCAGCAAACTGGTGTCATGCCAAATATTTTGGTAACCATTTAAAAACTATTGCCGGTAGCTACAAATCTGCTTCCTGAAATCCAAATCTATAATTTTACAAACATATTATCTCACCAGAAAATTCTTAGGTCTTGATTTCTAATTTTTAGGGTTGACTCTTTGGTCTGCCCCCAAGCAATACATGGTATAAATTTGAAATAATTGCAGATAATATGGTAAAGCGGCTAGGAGACATGTTGCTGTTTTGGTGGAGGATCATGCCATAACCATAGCAGGTTATTTGAAAAAGAATATTTTGCAAATTTGGGGGGCTGCAAAAATTGACTTGAGGGCAGCATTCAGCCAGTAGGCTGTGTGATGCCGCCTTTCTAGATGAATTAGTGGGTGATTTTAAACAAAAAGCTATTTTTGTTTGGAATGTTCTGGCTCAGTTGTTCTTTGGTGTTGTACAACATCACCTTCTATATGCTATATAAATATTCCTGGAAAGGCTTGTTGTAGTGGCTGCTGGAACACAGTTAAATGTATTTATCCCAGTCTGAGAAGTCTTTACAATGTTCCCATAAAGTCTATCTTCCTCACAACCAGTGTTCATTCAGCAGCACTATATCTAGATTCCGGCGTAGAGCAGGGGTTTGGACTTGATGGCCTTGTAGGCCCCTTCCAACTTCACTTTTCTATGATTCTAGATACTGTATCTGCCACTGTGTGACTATAGCTGAAGAACCAAACCCAGCAATCCATGTTTTGTATAGCATTCTTAACATTAAATTGGCCTAAATGAAATTTACTGAATTTGAAAGCAAGAGGACAATGCATGTGAATGTATTAGTTTGGATAAAACGACTAATACATGAAAATGTTGAACTATGTGTGTGTTCTGTGCTGTTTGAACTGACCTATAGCAACCCTAATAGGGCTTTCAAGGTAAGTGAGATATTTAAGGGGTGGCTTTACCAGTTCCAGTGAGTTTCCATGGCCAAGTGGGGATTAAAACCCTGTTCTCCAGAATCCTAGTCCCTCACTATCCACTACATCACACTGGGAATCGGAGACCACAAAGACAGCTTTGAAAACCTCTCCTGCAGCTATAAAAAAAACAGAATTTATTGAATTCTAGCTTAATTATAAAAACAAGTAATTAACTGTATGCCTATGTGCATTGCACTATTCAGAGCAAATAGTGAATAATGTTAGACTAATAGTATAGACATGCAAATTCCAGAAAAATAATTTCTTTAGTGTTAGATTTAACTTTTTTCGTTTGACTTGTAAAGTGGCAAACTTGGTGCCATACTCCAAAAAAAGTGAACAAATGCTTGCTTCCTGTAGTGTTCAAGGAAGTAGTGCATATACACAGCAAGAGGCTCAAGATAAGCAAGAGACACAGAAATTAATTGAAAGAGAACTTTCTGTTCTTCCTTTCAAAATACTTCAGTTGATTACAAGAATAGTGGCCAAACCCTAAGCATCTGTTACAGAAAGATTTTGTTTATCACCTCTTCTTTGGATAAAAAACTGTAAAATAGATGCATATGCTATCTGTATCACACTAAAGCAGTGCCAGGTGACTTGCAGCCCTCAGGGAACATGCCACAAAACCAAATTTGATGCCTCTTGCTGTGTTAGTTTGCTGTTAGTTTCTCCAACAAGTGGCCATGAGCAAAGGGCAGGCAGTGTGGATTATAGTTGGTGGTTACTGACTGTCAACATTATTCATGATGCTTAACTGGCTCCCAAGACTGAGGCAGGTAATGTTTAGCTGCGGTATTGTGGCCTGGCTTGGGCAACATCCATTCATTCTCTGTCTTCTCATTTGTACTGTACCTTGTTGTTGGATTTCTCCACAAACCTAGAAGAAGTGGCATTTCACCCAGTCAGAAAAACAGAAGCTGCCTTTTTAGTCAGAAAGGTTGAACATTCTTTATCACTTTAACTAATTGAAAAGCAGATTAATTAAGCAGCAACAGAATGAACGAGAGTGATTAAAACACACACAAACATACACACAACTGGAAGTTGAATGTATGTATGTGTAGGTGGCAGTGGTATGAAGAGAAAAGTATTGATTCTTTTGTTTGGCTTTGGCTCTGTCTGCCATTGGGGGACACTCTACTTTTTCCATTTGTCCATGGCCTTTCTAAGAAAGAAGGTTCTACAACATGGTCTAAAGCTAAATCAGGTGTATATTTTTAAAAAATACAAATTATAGACAAAGAGAGCTGATTTTTGCAATACAGACATGAGCTTTAGCTAGGCTTTTAAACACTCTGGGTGCAGTCTGAGATTTAGGAGTGACACAAGCTGCATGTATGTTTAATCATAAGACCACATATAAAAATGAAGTGAAAGAATGAAGGCAACAGGATAAGTAATAACATGAGAAACAGCTTAGCATAAAATAACGAGGAGTCTAAATCAAAGAAACCTTCTTATCCTATGGTTTTATATAGCTTATTTTCATCAGTCTGATAAATATGTATAAATCCATGTTAGGATTCTTACCTGTTTTGCATTGTTTTTAAATTGAAATTGTTCTTGTTTTCTAACAGTAGAAGTAGGTGGTAGTCTGAGTTAAATTGGCTATTAATTTAATAATTTTCCACCAAATGTCAGCCACTGGTGGATGTTTTTAGTACTGTAATTCCCTTTTTCTGTCCCACAGTTTCCATGTGATGAAATGGATTACATGGGGATCAGAAAAAGCATGGGGCAGAAATGGGAAGTAGGGATGGGATATTCAGTGAGGGGGAAGAATTCCCAGTCCCATAATGTGGCCTGCTGATGACAGTCTTACTCTTTCACAGGATTTCACCTATTATAATATTTTGTCAGTTGTCAATACAATAGGGAGTACAGTACAAAGACACACTAGCATATATACTTCTCCAGGGTACAAAAGAGAAAAGATATTTAGTTTGAGTGCTGCTTGCTGTTTGTTTGTTTTATTTAACTGGTGCAGTTCAGTTCATTGTTTACAACACTCTGCTAATTTGCAAATTTCCTTCCTTTTCAGCGTTGTGTGGTGCTACGCTTCTTGAAGTTTCCTCCAAACAGAAACAAGGTGAGATTTAAAATTTCTGGCTCTTTTAGTTTCTCATTTGTGTAAAGAGAGGTACTGTTTGTTTCACATTTTCCCAAGGAAAGGGAATTATGTCAGCCAGTTAAAGTTTTAAAATAAAGATTTGTTTTTTACTGTGACTTTTTACAGTTTTAAGGAGGGTTTGAGGATGAAGAATACCATAGAAGATGGCGATATAAAAAAAAATCACACATGGTATCTAGAGTGGTATAATGTTTCCAGCGTTCAACCAAAACTCTGGAAACGTAGATTCAAATACTTAGTTGAACATGAAACTGACTGATTGAGCAGTTTCTCATTCTAGCCTTCCTTACAGGGTTGTTAGGGACAAAGGGTGGGATACAAATATAACTAATAAATGATAGTCATTAAATACAGTATATGAAGAACAATAGAAAACCAGTAATAGTATCTTGATCTGATATATGGAGTCTTTAGTATAAGTTATTGATTAGTCTGGCTTTTAACCAAATACTGTACAGTGGGGTCTTGACTTAAGAACGACTTGAGTTAAGAACATTTTGACTTAAGAACTGCTCTCATAGGAAAATATTGACTTGACTTAAGTACTTAGATTTGAGTTAAGAACTGAAGAAAACCCACGTGGGAGGCAGGGAAAGTGCAAAATTTGAACTTTCGGTTAACTGTTGGCCAGTGAAAAGGGTGCCTGTCTGCTTCCTCACTCCTCCCAGCGTTTAGAGAGTGGATTGGGAGTCTTCAGACTGCCTGGTACTGTACTGCCTGGACTGTATTTTCCCTGCCTTCCCTGAACCTTTCTTGACCTAAGAGAAAAAGAAACAAAATATCCCCCTCTAGTGGTCGAAGGCGGAATAGCAGCTTCCCATTAGTTTCTATGGACGGAAAAGAGCAGATACGGATCAAATGGTTTTCAATGCATTCCTATGGGAAATGCAGATTTGACTTGAGAACTTTTTGACTTGAGAACCACCTTCCAATACAGATTACGTTCTCAAGTCAAGACCCCACTGTACCGTAATAATTTACATTGTGTGGTTAGGGAAAAAGGAAAGGGAAAGTATAGCCTTTGTAGATTAACATTCACATTAAAGACAGCCTCTGTGTCCTCTAACCCAGAATATGTTTTCATCCCAGAAAACAGCGGGCGGCCATTTTTTTAACCCGGTGGCCATTTTGGAACTGCTGATCAGCTGTTCAAAAATCATCGCTTTGCGATGATCGGTAAGCGAAACAGGGTACCGATCATCACAAAGCGATTTTTCCCTATTTAAAACATCGCAATGCGATCGCAAAAGCGATCGCAAAATCTTTGTCGCTATGCGATTTCATCGTTAAACGGGGCGCCCGTTAAGCGAGGCACCACTGTACAAGCTTCATGACCCCACAGGCACGCAGATATTAAAGCAACCCTAGTCTGAAGGTATATTTATTTTGGGTTTGTATGCATTGTTATATATAGAAATGCCTAGTTTAACTTTAAATTTAAGTTTAAACATAAATTGCAAAGCTATAGTCTGGTCATGCTGACTGATGAAATTTTTGACTGACTGGTGAGACATTCTGCAATTTTTCAAGCCCTGGTTATAGCTATCACCTCCAGTATCAGAGGCATATGCTTCCAAATTCCATATTCTCTTTCCTAGAGAAAGAGACAGAAGGTTCCATTACACCAGTGTCCTGCTGGCAGCTGACTGTTGTGTGATCTAGTGACAAAAGAGGCATTTGGTCAGATCCAGCATGACTCTTCTCCTAGTCTTGTGTTCTCAAATGGAGATAGATAGCATGTACTTTCTTCAGAATCTCTCTCCATGTTGAATGGTGATAGGGAACCTCCTATTCATTCAAGTATCATACTATAAATAATATAGTAAAAGATATGTCCTATGATTCTTCTTCCATGCTGCAACTCCTGCTGCAACCTCAAAATCTGTTCTGTGAAGTTGGGAGACTGGAGTAGATTTCTCATTTCTCTCTCTTTTATTTTCCTCTGTTCTTTTCCCAATACGAAATATTTTTCAATTGTGCATTTTCAGTATATTCTCATGATATACTTTGAAAGGAGCATACGGTGGTGCCTCGCATTACGACGTTAATTCGTCCCAGCGAAATCGCTGTAGAACAAAAACGTCGTAATGCGAAAATAAAAAACCAATTGAAACGCATTAAAACCCATTTAATGCATTCCAAAGGGCTGTAAACTTACCGTCCAGCGAAGATCCTCCATAGGGTGGCCATTTTCGCTGCCTGTGCAGTGAGGAATCCATCCCAGACAACAGCGAGGGGGCATTTTGTTTACCCAGTGGCCATTTTGAAACCACCGATCAGCTGTTGGAAAATCGTCGTTTTGCGAAGAATCTGTCCCAAAGCAGGGAACCGATCATCGCAAAGCAAAATCCCCCCATAGGAAGCATCGTTTTGCGATCGCAAAAGCGATTGCAGAAAGTTCATCGTAATGTGATTTCGTCGTTAAACGGAGCAATTGTAAAGCGAGGCACCACTGTATATAGAAAATGCAGACTTTCTCTGGGTCTAATTAGATAGAAATCTATTATGCTGCTGCTTATGTCCCAAAGAAGATTTTTTGATTCCCATTTTGTGAAATGTTTCTTTTATGGAAATTAATATGCTAGGTAGCATTACTCATATTGTTTATAGTTTATATTCAACATTTTAAAGAGACTAGTCCTTCCAAGGTAGCTTACCAACGGTAAAACAAAAATCAGATGGTTTTGTGCGTGTAATTGGCCATTTTGGTGGTGGTATGTTGGGGGAGCTGGTATTTATTTATTATTTATTTATTAGTTTTATTTATATAATACATTTCTCCCAACAAGTCACCCCAAACGGATCACAACATTAAAATTCACACAATTTAAAAACACAATAAGTTAAATATTAAAAGATAAATTAAACAATATGTAATTTAAAATACAATTAAAAGATTGAAACACGAAAACATAAAAAAAGATTTAAATTATCTGCTGAAATGGGGTTCAGGGATTCAGTTGTAATTGTTAAAAGCCTGCCTGAAGAGATGGGTCCTTAGCTTTTTTCAAAAGGATAACAGGGGAAGGGGCCATCCTGATCTCCGGAGGGAGAGCGTTCCATAGCCTGGGAGCTGCCCCAGAGAAGGCCCTCTCCCGTGTCCCCATCACCTGTGCTTGTGCTGGCAATGGGACCGAGAGGAGGGCCTCCTCTGCTGATCTTAATCGCCAAGAAGGTACATATAGGGAGATACAGTCCTTCAGGTAGCCTGGACCCAAGCTGTACAGGGCTTCATAGATAATGACCAGCAATTCAATTGGACTGGTAGGCGGTGCAATTCTTGTATGAACTGTCTTCAAAGGCAGCCCCACATAGAGTGTGTTGTAGTAATCCAAATGAGATGTAACTAAGGCATGTGACACTGTAGCCAGATCCAACATCTCAAGGAATGGGCGCAGCTGGCACACCTGCTTTAGCTGTGCAAATGCACTCCTGGCCACCGCCGAGATCAGGCATGTATATGGGGTTTATATGTGATCCTGAGCTTCCTGGGAGACTAGAGTAGCCACCATGCCCTGATTTACGCTATCTAAATCAGAACAGTTCCACTACTTACGTGAGAATTCTGCTTATATTACACCTGATTTACAGATTCAGGCTTTTCAATCCCTAATTTACATTGTCTGGGTAAGAAAATGTCCTTCCATTGTTGCTGTATCATTTCATTTCATTCTTATGTTTTATATTATGTTTTATGTTATGTTATATCCATGCCCTGATTTACGCTATCTAAATCAGAACAGTTCCACTACTTACGTGAGAATTCTGCTTATATTACACCTGATTTACAGATTCAGGCTTTTCAATCCCTAATTTACATTGTCTGGGTAAGAAAATGTCCTTCCATTGTTGCTGTATCATTTCATTTCATTCTTATGTTTTATATTATGTTTTATGTTATGTTATATTAATCATTTCCCCATTTCCTTCTTCTCCAATTATTCTGTCTTGCCCTTATCCTACCCTCAGATCTGTGCTCATAGTGGCAAAGATGTATCGAATGACAAGGAACTGTATTTGTTTATTAAAGAGGATAAAGTGGATCATCCACTTAATACATAGAAGAATTCAGCATTATTTGCACTTTGCTTGGAATTTATAGTGACATTCATAGACTTTGCAAACTTAAAATCATTTTCTTCCATAGAGGTTGACAGTGGCTTGTTTTCTATGTCAGTTGGATAGAAGTGTTATCTCTTACTGTTGCATAGCCTGTTCATTTTGACAACAACTTATAATTTATTTTTCAGACACCAGAAGAAATTTTTCATCATCTTCAGAATATAGTGTACTTTGGGAAACACATCATGAAGCATTTTTTTGGGGAGAAGTATGTTCACCACGGGGTAACTATTATTTTATTATTTTTTTGTTCTTGTAAACTCATCCTTTTCACAAACCACTTTAGCAGGTGTGAGCTAAACAAGGCCTATGGGCCACATGCACCTCTCTATTAACCTCAGTGTTTTTGCCCTAGATGCCACCAAACCATCCAGAAAGATGTTGAGGAAAAAATAGGAAGTTGGGCCATTAGCAGATAGGTTTGGATGTGGGTTTTTTGCAAGTTAAAGACTATATTTGTATCCCTTTGCCCATGGTTGTTTCAGACCTAAAATGCTTCTTTAGAAATTAAAACCTGACTGGTAAATTATTGTGTGTTTCTAAAAATGACCTTTTCCTGGTCTAAAACATGCTTACAGAAAACGGAAATAAAATTCAAACAGTAAATTGCATATCCTGGAATTTTGCTTTTTTTTTAGGAGGGTGATAATGATTTTTGTAGAATATGTTAAGAGGACATATCAAGATACAGGGAAGGGTAAAAATGGACCCTTGTTGATTTGGCTTTTGCAAAATAAGAGTAATAAACTCTATTTATCTTGACCAAACTGCTTGAATATAATATAGAGCATTGGTTGAAGAGTATTGTGTATTTCTAGGATACTGTGTCCTTGTGTTTACAGCATAGACTAAACTGTGCAGTACCACCAGGACAATATTGATTTTCTTATCCATATTATGATACCTTCTAAATAGGAAGCTAGGTGGAGTTAGGCATAGCTAGGCCATAAAGCCTTCCAGGTTATGTCTTTATCCCAGTGAGCCATATTTAGGTGTCTGTATGTTACGTGGAACTCCCAGAATGGTGAATTACAGGATTTGTACCCCTCCCCGCAAATTAAAAAAAATCTCATGCATGTTGAGCATTAATGAAAAGTGAGCATGAAAACTAACTGCATGGCTAGAAATGGATAGAATTCACAGGAAAAGAGGAAGGCCGGACCAGCTTGATTTTCTTGCTATTTCACAGAAGACAACTGGCCTACCTGCTTCTCTGATTTCGCACACATGCATAGATATGTGAATATTGTTGTCTTCATAAAAAGGACTATGGCCTGGAAGTAATTAGTTATAAATAGGTAAGGTAAAGGTAAAGGTTCTCCTTGATGTTAAGTCCAGTCATGTCCAATTCTAGGGCGTGGTGCTCATCCCCATTTCCAAGCCGTAGAGCCAGCGTTTGTCTGTAGACAGTTCCCGTGGTCACGTGGCCAGCACGACTAGACACCGAATGCCGTTACCGTCCCACCATGGTGGTACCTATTTATCTACGCACATTCACATGTTTTCGAACTGCTAGGTTGGCAGGAGCTGGGACAAGTGATGGGAGCTCACTCCGTCGCATGGATTTGATCTTACGACTGCTGGTCTTCTGACCTTGTAGCACAGAAGCTTCTGTGGTTTAACCTGCAACGCCACCACATCCCTTATAAATAAAAAGCTCCTTATAATTAATTCCTTTTCTCAATAAGGAAGGCTTAACTACTTTGTTTGTTTGTTTATTTGTTTATTTATTTATGTAATTTATATGCCGACCACACTACCAAAGGTCTCTGGGCGGCTTACAACATTTTGCAATAATAATTATTCTGTTTGTGTGCTGCAATGGCAACTTAATGATGGTGATGCTTTGAGTTGGTGGGGTAGAAGTCAGGGTCACTGGAAATGGAGCCAGAAGCCAGCTCAACTGTATACATAGTCACTAGCCTGCTGTCTTATCAAAAGCTGAAGGAATCAAGTAATATATTAAAAGTGTGTGATCAATGGGATTTAAGAGCTAGGAAGCTATGTCCAGTAATTTAAGAAAGTTACATCCTGTATGCAAAGTGAATTAGGAAGTTAGCAAAAGCAAAATAGTATGCATAGAGGTTTGCAAGTGAATTCAAACACACGTAACAGCTATAGCAAGCCAGGACGATACTGTCGTATCTAATATAGTTAGTAATATAGTTAGTAATATAGTAATATAGTTAGCCAAATGGATGTAGGGGTTGTTAGCAAGGCAAATACCATAGCGAGAGTGGTGTAGCTACTGCCACATGTAACAGCTTCAGGAAGCCAGAACAATATCATTTTTGCCTGAAGAGGCCTGGAAACCTAAGATGCGGTAAGCAACATAATGTGGTGGTGATGGCCGGGATGACAAGTTAAACAGCATGCAGAAAATTAGTGGTCATATACCTTTATGTAATCATTCCTGGTGCCACAGCCACAGGAAGACTGAGTGTATGACATTGTATTAATGCATTTCTTCTCCCCTTCAGTCATACACAGACTCAGTCAGTAAAATTCTGAGTATTTTCTTCCCCAGTCAGATATGTCAGAAGTGGCCAAAGCCACGGTTGGTAATTCTCTGCAGTTGTTCCCTCGCTGATTCTATAAGGGACGGGTAGAAGCACAAGACAGTAGAAGTACTACTCAGTAGCAGTCCATTATATCAGGTCCCCAACCTTTTTCACCCCGTGGACTGATTGGGGAAGGCGGGGAACTCCTCGTGCTCGTGCGCATGTGTGAAAGAGTGCTCTCTCACAAATGGTGGCACAGTGCTCGCACGGGGTGCGCTGGAGCGTGCGCGCATGCACAAATCAGTGTGTGGGTGAGTGCATGGGGGGGAGGCAGGAAGTCTGTCTCCATGGCCCAGTCCAGCTGAGGGCATGGACTGGCACCAGGCTGCGGGCTGGGGATCGGGGACCTTTGCTTTATATGAGTTGTGCAGATGCTCTGCAGGGCAGGAGATCTAAATAATACTTAGCTCATTGGCTCCAAGGCACTGGGAGGTTACTATTCACATTATTCTTCTACAAATAATTAGTTTCTTGGTGGTGATGATGCAAGGGTTAAATATAGCTATTTGGCAGCCTGAGAGAACAGTGTCTGTGCTCGCTGTCATTGTTTCTTACCCATCTTAGAAGTGCTTTGTGAATGTTCATGCTCAGAAGTGCTTAGAGAGACAGACAGTGCTGGCAGTTCTGAGTCTTCACAAACTGTATTTATAGTCAGAAGCCTTCCAATATAGAAAAACAGCTAGGGAAATGATTGTTTTCTTCTACATGGTATGCTAACATAGGTATTTTTTCATTTATTGTTGCAGGGATCAGGGTTTGTGCTTCTTGGGTTCTTTGTTAGGAGGGGTGCCCCGTTGGAAAACATGTTGGGACATCATTGCTTTTATAGGTATGGGGGCGTGGCCTCACTAAAGGAGAGATGAGGAGTATCTCATGCGTCAAATGCTAGCTTGTGGTGGTAAGATAACGACTGGGTGGGAAGGTCATGTTTTATACCATAAGCCAACAGCATGTAGCCCTTGAATGTTTCATTAAAAGTAACCAAAAAAAAAAACCCCTGTTCTTTTTTTTTGTCAACTTTCTTTAAAAAAATAGAAACTTCAGTGAGAATGGAACTACTTTGTGGGACCTTGGAAATAGAAGAACAACTAATTACTTTTCAAAAGTAAATTTCAACCTTTGAGATACCCTTTTATATGTCAGTATTAAAACTACCCTCCTGGAATTTTAGATTTTTTTTTCATACCTTGCATGTAAAAGATTGGGAAGGACTTAAGTTCCACAATATATTTCACCACCTCATGGAAATCAGACCAATAGTAAGAATCTTGCAGACATATGCAGGAACAGTTTGAATATTCCATAACAAGTTCACCTTTATTTATGCTGGGAGCCTCCTCTGACTTCAGACAGTATGATTAATTTTGTCTCTAAGAAAAGGGAGTGGAACATGGGAAGTGGGTGCCTCCTATCCTGAACTACTACTTCAGCTGAAATGCAGAGTTTTCATGATTGTGCTTGACTGATAAAGTTAAATGAAAAAACATTTTTTTCCATTCACATATTTTGGAAATGTGACTGGGAATGATTGATGGGAAAGGATATAAGGTAGCTTACAAAAAGATCGTATTTAATGCTTGGTGACAGAAAGCATGAGTTGTGGACATGGGAAGATTGGAAGAGATAACTAAGAATGCCAGCATAATTTGAAGAGCATTTTTTGCTTTCCTTGGAAGAATCAGATAAGGTTGTAATATAGATTTTCATTCTTTCCCACTGCTGTTCAGTGGAGTCAGTTTCATTTTTAATTTAATTTTACCTTCTATCCCAACTTTCCATCCAAATGGGTTGCTTTATGCTAAATCAGGATTCTTTTGACTATGTTAAAAATGGTGCGACTATTCTTTATCTACATGTAACAATTCCTTATGCTAAAATGTATTTATAATTTTATTTTAGGAAGTTGTACAGCTACCTTTCAACTTTGTAAAACAACTTTGTTTAAAGATCCAGTCAGAGAGACCAGGTAAGGAATTAAAGTAACACATAGCAACTTGAATAAAATGTTGAATATTCTTTCTGAATCCTGCATTTGAAAAAACACTCACACACTGTTGCCTCCTTTAAAATAGCAGTGAAAAGCATCACTTGCATGGCTTCATGCAACAAATCAAGGATATCCATATAAGGCAATCCTATGTGTAGCCTCTGTAACTTTAGAGATAGTGTCCAAAATCCTTTGTTCTGTGTAGTAAATTGCACTAAAAGAGGCCCATTTGAATACATGGAACTTATGGAGAAATTGACTCACCAATTCCCATTGATTCAGTGGACCACCTCTAATGCAATTTACTGCACTAAATACAGTGGTGCCTCGCATTGCGACGTTAATTCGTTCCGCAAAAATCGCTGCAGAACGAAAATGTCGCTATGCGATATTTAAAAGCCCATAGAAACACATTAAAACCTGATTAATGCGTTCCTGTGGGCTTAAAACTCCCCGTTCAGCGAAAATCCTCCATAGCGCTGCCGTTTTCGCTGCCTGGTAAGCGAGGAATCCGTCCCAGTAAACAGCGGGCGGCTATTTTGTTTACCCGGCGGACATTTTGAAACCGCCGATCAGCTGTTAAAAAATCATCGCTTTGCTATGATCGGTGCCCGAAGCAGGGAACAGATCATTGCAAAGCGAAAAAACCCCATAGGGAACATTGCAAAGCGATCGCTTTTGCAATTGCAAAAAATGCATCGCAAAGCGATTTCATCGCTAAATGGAGTAATTGCTATGCGAGGCACCACTGTAACAGGTTTTTGGCCATTGACTAAAATCCACTAGTAAGATGCAGCTAGAGTAGTCCGATTGAATAAGTGGAACTTACATACTTGTTGACTCATCCAATCCCCATTGATTCAATGGGCCTAGTCTAGTTGCAACTGACTACAATGGTGCCCCACTTAACGATTACCCCACTTGATGACAAATCCGCTTTACAGTGACGTTTTTGCGATCGCTATTGCGATAAAAAAACGATGTTTAAATGGGCAAAATCCGCTTTGCGATGATCGGTTCCCTACTTTGGGAACCGATTCTTCACATTATGACAATCAAAACGGCTGATCGTTGGGTTTTCAAAATGGCCGCTGGCTGTTCAAAATGGCTCCCTGCTGTGTTCAGGATGGATTTTTCGCTGCACAGGCATCGGAAAATGGCCGCCCTATGGAAGTATTTTGGCCTATATGAGACTGATAGATTTTAACAGTTACTGAAACAGAAAAGACAGATCTGTCTTCCTGAAATTCTGGGAGGAGAGTATAGGATTTTTAACCTGCTACCCCTATTTCCTCATCATGGAGATAAATAGCTATGTCCCAAGGCATAGAGTTTCTGGGTAGGAAGACTATGCTGCTGACTGAATCTCTTATTTTGGAAAAAGGGGAAAACATGCCACATGCTGCCTTTCACAATAGAGCTCTGTTTTAAATGGGACTATAAACCTTGGCTGTTGTTGTTTAGTTATGTCCAACTATTCGTGACCCAATGGACAAAAGCACGCCAGACCCTCTTGTCTTCTACTACCTCCCAGAGTTGGGTCAAATTCATGTTGGTACCTTCAGTGACACTGTCCAACCATCTCGTTGTAGGTCGTCTCCTTCTCTTGCCTTCACACTTTCCCAACATCAGGGTCTTGTCCAGGGAGTCTTCTCTTCTCATGAGATGGCCAAAGTATTGGAGCCTCAGCTTCAGGATCTGTCCTTCCAGGGAGCACTCAGGGTTGATTTCCTTCAGAACGGATAGGTTTCTTCTTTTTGCAGTCCAGGGGACTTTGAAGAGTCTCCTCCAGCACCACAATTCAAAAGCATCAATTCTCAGCGGTCAACTTTCTTTATGGTCCAGCTCTTACTTCCATACATCAGTACTGGATAAACCATAGCTTTGATTATGCGGACCTTTGTCGGCAAGGCAATGTCTCTGCTTTTTAAGATGCTGTCTAGATTTGTTATCATTTTCCTCCCAAGAAGCAGGTGTCTTAATTCCGTGGCTGCTGTCACCATCTGCAGTGATCATGAAGCCCAAGAAAGTAAAATCTGTTACTGCCTCCATATCTTCCCCTTCTGTTTGCCTGGAGGCGTTTGGCCAGTGGCCATGATCTCAGTTATTTTGATGCTGAGCTTCAGACCATTTTTGGCATTCTCCTCTTTCACTCTCATTACGAGGTTCTTTAATTCCTCCTCACTTTCTGTCATCAGAGTGGTATCATCTGCATATCGGATGTTGTTGATATTTCTTCCAGCAATCTTAATTCCGGTTTGGGATTCTTCCAGTCCTGCCTTTCGCATGATGTATTCTGCATATGAATTAAATAATTAGGGAGACAATATACAGCCTTGCTGTACGCCATTGCCAATTTTGAACCAATCAGTTGTTCCATATCCAGTTCTAACTGTTGCTTCCTGTCCTACATATAGATTTCTCAGGAGATAGATAAGGTGGTCAGGCACTCCCATTTCTTTAAGGATTTTCCATTGTTTGTTATGGTCGACACGGTCAAAGGCTTTCGCATTGTCAATGAAGCAGAAATAGATGTTTTTCTGGAACTCTCTGGCTTTCTCCATAATCCAGCGCATGTTAGCAATTTGGTCTCTAGTTCCTCTGCCCATTCGATATCCAGGGAGTTCTTGGTCCACATACTGCTGAAGCCTACCTTGTAGGATTTTAAGCATTACCTTGCTAGTATGTGAAATGAGTGCCATTGTATGGTAGTTGGAGCATATACCCTGGCTAGTTTCTTCCATCTGTATTTTTGATAAATGACTGAACTCTTAGTGTTCATTTTAATCTCTATATGTATCCAGACGTGAACATCAGTTTTAGATGGGTTGTGTCACTGAATTCTTACCTGGTCCCCCAGACCTAATAATGATCTCTATCGGGGTGTAATTATATATTCATAAGCAGTTTTAATTGCCTGACTAAATTTTTCTCTTTGCTTATGTTCACAGAAATGCACTGATAAAAATAGGTAGTGTGTTTATCACTTCTCTGTTAAGTAATCATTTATTTAAATAATTGCATAAAATACATGCATGCCTAGTCTCTTTCTATTTGAGTGTGAAATGCTTAAAGGTCAGTTTTCCTTCAGTACAGACTATGATCACCTGTACCTGCCATTTAGTAGGATAAACTAAATTGGTTACTACTACAGGAGAGAGTTATTGTGAGTTTGTACACTCAGATCTAATTCTCTTAGGCACTAAAGTCTCTGCTGATTAATAGTTTAAGGTGGTATTTTTGGAAAGTTAGCCTGGACCATGCAAACATGTCACTAAAATGATAAAGATTTTTTTTCTCCAAAACAAAGTTGTCCTAAATTAAACTTGTCCTCATTAAGAATAAAAAAATAGCAGTACAATGTGTTGTTGTTTGGTGATTCAGTCTATGTTTGGATGCAAAGTAATAGGAAATCCCAGGCCTCATTATGAGAGGAAAAAATTACGCTTAATATTTGAATGTTGGATCACTCAGTCCTGGTGAAGTGCCAATCCTTGCAAATAATGGAGCCTAATTTGTTTGTACATATAATGTATTTTGGATAAATGGTTTGGTTCTGTTGAATCAGGTGTTGTACAGTGTTGCCAGGAAAGATAAATCCTGTTACAGATCTTGCTCCTGTTAAGAATCTGTACTGCATCACAGTATAAATTTCCTTGTGCTATGAAATAGTTTGTCAGTTCTAATTTTTCTGTACAGATGATTCTGCCCATATTCTGTTGAGCTGTTTGTCATGATCCAAGGCCTATGCTAAATTACAGCCAAAGATTACTCACGGAGCAAGGGAGTCCAGAATAAATGAGAGGAGAGGAAGAGAGCCATATCTACTGCTGTAAGCTCACTGCAGGAGAAGTATGATAGAAATGTAATTAAAGCATAAAATAAATGGCAAACTGATTTAGAGCCAAAAACTGTGAATGTTGTATTTGGGGTTTTTTGGGTTGCAGGTCCCAGAATTTTCTAGGAATTCCTTAGGCAGAACTCTAGGAATTCCAGCCCACAAATCCACACCTACAGAAACAACTACATTTTACTCACCTGGAGAAGGGCTTAGCTTGAAGGCTCCATGTCCTATTAAACAAGGAAGCTGTCCTGGTGCTACCTGGAAATCCTAGGACTTTCTGGGAGATGTACTCATTGTCCATTAGGCTTTGTAGAGGGCAGTGGGTAGTGAAACTACACCTCTCAGGAAATCCTAGGAGGCCCATATAGCAGAGGTCATCAACCCCCGGTCCGTGGCTTAAGCCTGACCGGGCCGCCAAGACAGACCTCCCCCCCCACTCGCCCCTGCAAAGGTTGTTTGCGCCTGCATGCATACTTGTGCGCCTGCGCAAATGGTGGCGCGATCTCCCGGAGCCCGGCTGGAAAGCCAGGAGCACAGAGAGACCCCGCAGGAGGCAGGAGCCTGGGGGGAGGTCTTCTGAATTTTTCCCGGTCTCTGTCAGCTGGGGGTGCAGGGCGATGGTGCAAGGTGAGGAGGGCTCCACGCAGCCCTGACAGCCCGCCCGCTCTCCCTTGCAAGCCTGCCTCCCCCCCCGGCTCGCCCAAGAGATGGGCATGTCATGCACAAGCATGAGGGGTGTGCCACTCATGTGCACAATCTCGACACGCCCACCAGTGAGCGTGGGGGGTGCCCCCGAAATGGTCCGCACATGGAGTCCATACCCCTCAACTGGTCTGTGGCCCAAAAAAGGTTGGGGGAGCACTGCCATATAGCACTGGATTAGTTTCCTCTTTTTAACAAGAGGTTAGGCTGGAAGTAGACCATGGAGTCTTCAAGCTAGGCCTTTGTCCAGGTGAGTTAAATTTAAGTGTGGGTTTGTGGGCTGGAACTCCTGGAATTCTGCCATATCCCACAAATAAGCCCCATTTAAGTGAAACCCCACACTCCACCATTGTGCAGCAACCATTTGAATAAATGTAGATTGTTGTACGTGAAAAAAAATAAAACAAATAAAAATAAGCCCTAATGTGTTTTTGGAGCAAAAATTAATATAAGACCCTGTCTTATTTTCGGGGAAACAGGGTAACTGTGACTTTAAGTACTCTGGTGCAATTTATTATGCTAAGCAACAGGATTTTGTCAACTCCTAGAAAGTAGTAATTGGCAGTGTGTTTAATTAATCTGTAATGCTCATAATCTATACATTATCACATACAATGTTGAGTGTGGATGAAAATAATTGTTTTCCTTTTATCCAGAGTCTCGCTGTAATAAAGAGATGGATGCCCTCAGTGGTTATGCTTTGTGCCTTCCTAACCTGACTAAGCTCCATTTTGTTGAACATCGACCAATGCTTTGTGTAGAGATTAAGGTGGGTTTGTTGAGTCTGTTGGACATATATTAAAATGTTTACGTGTAAATATTAAATATTAAGCTCAATAATGTTAGTCTGTTGCAGAAAAAAAATGAAGCCACTGAAAAGAACTCAGTCTCATGGTATCTTAAGGACTATCCTATTTTATTTGACTTAATCTTTTGTGAATGGTAGTCTGCTTTAGCAGATGAATCTGATGAAATAAGCTGTAGTCCAGGAGTCTCCAAAGTACGGCCCGCGGAATACATCTGGCCTGCCTTGCCTTTTTATCCAGCCTGGTAGATGGGCGGACGGGAGTGTGTGTGTGTGCAGGAGCATCATCCTTCAACCCTCAAAAATGTGGAGCGTATATCATGTGGCCCTCCCACTGAAAAGTTTGGAGACCCTCTGATCTAGTGTATGAAGATGTAGCTAAATAAAGTTTTTTTCCCATTATTTCTCTCAGAAGTGGATGCTATGTAGTATGCCTTTGATGGCTGTCAGAAGGGATATGCAGCCAATACGGCTACATAGAGTGATTTTGAGCCAGAAGAAAACATTCTTAATGATGCAGAGTGCATTTATACATTATTCCTTTTGTTCATTCTTGGAAATTTACTCATTTCTGAATAATCTACAAAGCTGAAAAACTGTACAATTGAAGAGCATGCTTAAAAGTTACTAGGTGTGTGTTGTATTTACTAAACATTAGTTTAATTAGGTTTGTGACAAATGCAAATCTCTTGGGAGCATTTTAAAGCTCAGCATTAATCACAAAAACAGGAATAGGTTTGATGTTTCTGTGTGTCCACAACAAATATCAGGGCCTAAATTCAGTTGTTAGTACCAATTTGACTGGACCTACTGAATCAGTGAAAACTTTTAAGTCAAGACATATGTAAACTTCCTTGGTTCAGGGAATCTGTTTTTGTCAGACTACCAATTGGATTGGGCCCTAATACCAACAGAAGATTTAGCAGAAGCTCTAGTTAAAAGGAGACGTAAAAATTGATATTAGCTGTGTATATTCTGTATTTTTTTATATTAGGTTAAAGTGTATTTTTCAGCTATAGTCCTGTTGGTAATCTAAACTAGAGTAGTCCTGTTGAATCAGTGCGAGTTATATAAATGTTAACACTCCATTCAATAAGTGATTCAATAGGCCTGCTCTAGTAGGGACTAGCAATAGAACTAAGGTGTAAGTATCTTACGTATAATATATTTAGTGTATTTAAATATCTATTTGTTTATTTCTACAGCCCAAATGTGGGTTTCTCCCTTTCTCCAGCCATATTTCACAAGAAATAAAACACAAAGTGTGTCGTTACTGCATGCATCAACATCTAAAGGTAATGTGCTGTCAATAGGATGTTAGGTCTTTCTTCTGTTAATAGAGTTCCATGGTAGAATTAACATTCTGTCTTTGGTATAATCTGTTAAAGAATTAATTAGGACTAAGTCCCAACTAGATTTGATCTATCGAATGCCTGGGATTTGTTAAATCAATATATAACTGGCTTGGTTTATTCATCTCTTTACAGAAAATGCCACCTTAATTGAGGATTGTTATTATTATTTTTTTGATAATTTGTGTTTGATTAACCATTGTAAGACAAAACATATGGTAACCAATTTCAGAAACCTACTGGCTGTGTAAGCATGTAATGTTAAGCTATGATTTACTGTTGGATGTGTGTGTCTTTGTAAGCCAAGAGAAATCTTGGACTTGCAAGCTGTCAAGGAGGAAGGATAAACTGTAATTCAGTTTCACTTTCCAAGGTTACCCTCTTAATTTTCTGTAATTCCCAATTCTAACAGCTGTGAATTATGGTTTAAAACAAAGTAAACAGTTGCCATGGATGGCATGCGAGCTGGCTACCTAACTGTGGAGCCAGAAACTGTGAGTTTTTGATTTCCCCACTGTGCATCCTGGGAGAAGAGCTGGCCTTGTGTCACCTTGGTCAAGCTGTGTGGCCCCAGAGCAACCTCAGAAGGAACAGACTGTAAACCACAAAACCAAAGAAAGAGCCATTTTAAGTTGGAATCAACTTTATGGCATGTAATTATTATTCTGTTAATCAATTATTGAACAAGCAACAGCAAGCCCTATGTTATTCAGTTGTCCTGTTTAATAAACTAGAGAAGGAGAAAGGGAGACGAGGCATGGGAGCCTGAGGGTTTATTTGAGTTTCCAAAGGTTCATACTTGTATATACTAAATCCTGGTTGAGCATTGTGTGTAAACAAGGTTGCAGCATGATTCTCTAAGAAGCATTAGTGTGACTTTTTGTTCTCACCTTTTTCCCTAGTAAGAAATATTTGGATTAGAGATGGGGGTATTCGTATACGAATATCCCCGTACAGGTGGAAATAACGAGGGTCCAGCCCCATTGGGGCCAGACTGTCCACTCACGATTTTGCCACTGACGTGAGCTCATCGGACCTTCCTATCGTGCCATTGTCTGCAGTCGATTACCCCGTCCTGGCAGGAGGCAAATGACAAGCCTCTCTTGTTAGGTCAGAAAGTGGCTAATCCATTACGGAGAACAGCGCAATAGTAAGCCTCTGTGGAGCTGGTGGCAGTGGCGAAATGGGCCAGACCCTTGTTATTTATACCTGCGCAGGGATATTCGTATACGAATACCACCATCTCTAATTTGGATCTAATTGGAGAGAACTCTTCAGGTCTCTTTGTATGTGTATGACCCACAAGACACAACTTGCCCCTTTTTTTTACTTATGTGGGCTTTTCTACACTTTAAAACACTGCATTTTGATGGAGTTATTTGGTAAAATGAAATATGGATATTTCCTGGGAGATGGGGTAGCTATAGCAGTTGTTACAGTAGAAACAAGAGATTCATATGGCATCTTAAAGATGAGTACGTTTAAATTGGGGTAGCTTTTCATAGATTTCAGCTCACTTCAGATACACCCCAGTTTAGTCTCCATTTGGTAGATATTTGTATGTATGCTGGGGTTGGTAAAGAAAAGTAGAGAAAGGGAAATAGATGGTGCTAGCATGGCTATGACCTCAATAATGGTTGTCATTGGGAAGAACAAGAAACATGGTTGATTGGCTTGTAATAATAATATGGAATTTTACATAACTGTTGAGCAAGTTTGCTCATCATCTGACTTCAATTAATAGACTAATACCTTATTCAGAAATCACATGATTTAGAATAGATTAATACCTTATTCAGAAATCACATGATTTAGTCAAAAATCTGTGCTGGATATAAGTCAGGGGATAACTAGGACTTATCCTTGAATTAATACATGTTGTATGTTAACAGGTAGCAAAAGGAAAATGGAAACAATTAAGTAAATATTGTCCTCTAGATCTCTTCTCAGGGTAAGAAAGTCTTATGCTCCCTACAATGTATGTATGTATGTATGTATGTATGTATGTATGTATGTATGTATGTATGTATGTATGTATGTATGTATGTATGTACGTATGTACATATGTATGTACGTACGTACGTATGTACGTACGTACAGTGGTGCCTCGCTTAGCAACGTTAATCCGTGCAGCAAAAATCGCTGCTAAGCGATTTCGTCGCTAAGCGATTTTAAAAAGCCCATAGAAACGCATTGAAACCCCTTCAGTGCATTCCTATGGGCTCCAAAACTCACCTTAAGCGAAAAACCTCCATTGCGGTGGCCATTTTCAGTGCCTCTAAAGCGAGGCAAAACAGCGGGCGGCCATTTTTGAACCGCCAATCAGCTGTGCGAAAATGGGGGCTTTGCGATGATCGCTTCCCTGCGATCATTGCAAAGCGAATTTTCTCCATGGGGCCATCGCAAAGCGATCGCTTTTGTAATCACAAAAACAGCATCACAAAGCTATTTCTTCGCTATGCGGAGCAATTGCTATGCGAGGCACCACTGTATGTATGTATGTATGTATGTATGTATGTATGTATGTATGTATGTATGTATGTATGTTATGTATGTATGTATGTATGTATGTATGTATGTATGTATGTATGTATGTATGTATGTATGTATGTATGTATGTATGTATAGCTAGTGTTATTAATTATTACTATGGTTAAAGGTTTGTGTAGTAGTAGATGATATAGATCTGTGGCACACACAAGGGCAGTGTTAATTGCTTGAACATTTTCCATTTGGTAGTTAGCACAGAGCTGTGTGGTGTGGATGAGACAATATAGCAGGGGATGACTAATGTAACAATTAAAAGATTAGTGAAGGAAGGCGAGGTAGTTTCAGAAAACCTTTCCTGAGGAATGTACTTTGACGATGATTTTTAGGGGCACAGACATAGAGATAGGTAGCAGAAATGACCAAGACTAGTCACATATTGCAGATCGAAGAGAAAACTATTTTAATGTTTACCTCATCATTTTTCTCCATTGTGGTTTTCCCTTTTAGAAATAAACAACGAATGCACTTTGCCTTGAAAAGTCTGTTACAGGAGGCACAGAATAACTTAAAAATATTTAAGGTAAGAGACAATGAAAATATTAGGTTTCTGTTTCCCATCCCTGCCTGTCCCATCACTTACATTCTTCTAGTACTGTGCTTAGCTAAGCACCTCAAAGGTGACCAGCTTCTAATTTCACAAGCAGTTCAAAATGGCATATTTTGCTGGGCACATATTGGATGCATAGTGATGCTGCTGAAAAAGGAGCTCTTCATTTTCTTCTCTGAAGACAGATCAGGGTTAATTATCTTGGCATTCCAAGGGGAGAGAGGGACTAAACTGGCTGAGAAAAAAAATACTTTGAAAGCACACCTGTAGGTCAATATATTTGAATAGACACATGAAAAACTAATTATGGCTCTGATTGGAAAGATATTGAGTTGATATGGAAGTCATGCCGAACTATATCATAACCTCATAAAAACAATAGATGGAGGCAATGGAACATGTGACAAGAATAATATAGGTAATCTTATTGGTAAAAAATAGTGATGTAATCTTACATGAATTACAAAACTCTTATAAATACTCTACTTGTAATGTCTTAATATGAAATCTAAAAATAATGCATATAATCAGGTTATTGTAGTGATTGCTGGATAATTTCTGTTTTCAGCACTCCATCAAATACAGCTTTAAGCATGGAATACATTGATTTTCTTAAAAGATAGGGAAATACCCTCTGGCTTCTTGCATACTTTCCATAACCCTCACTTCCTTGCAGAAGAATGGAATCATAGAATAAATTGAGATTGAAGGCCATCAAGTCCAACTCCCTCTTTGAATAATGCCAACAAAGCTATTACAGCAGTATAAAAAGTTGTCAAAACAACTTAAAACACCTATAATAAATTACCATGAATAACTTAAACCTTTTTTTTATCTCAGACATAGAGTGGCATACATAAATTCTGCCTCTCTTTGCTGAATGACTTCATTTTTAATTACGCTTTTTTCTGGTAAATTCTTGATGTATTTAGTGATACACATATACGCTTAATATTATAACATTAAATGTTTTGGATAAACTTGTAATGTTATAATAATAAACATATATATGTATCACTAAACACATTAAGAATTTACAAAAAAAGCATAATTTTGGATAAACTTTTAACTTTAATCAACATTTGTTGTACAGATTTCTCACATTATTCTAAAGACATACACAGCCAATGGGCTTAAATACTCCTAAACAAACTAATTCAATGGTATTAATGACAGCCTTTCCATTTAATTAGGAAGTTAATTATTTCAAATTCAGTGCTTGGGGAAAAAACCCTTTATGTATCTGTATCTTTTCTGTAAAAATGTTGAGTTTCTCCAATATTGAAATTGTAATTGTAATTTTATGATTTTATATATTTTTATATTGTTCTGTTTTATTTTGTAAGCCGCCCCGAGTAGACATGGTCTAGAGGGGCGGGGTAAAAATCAAATAAATAAAATAAAATAAATAAATATGATTTAAAATTAGTATCAGCCCACTGAATTGTGGATTAAGCTCTTACGCACGTCTAGGATCCAGGAACTGTGATTTAGAAGGGGCAAAATAGGGGCTTGGCTGTCTGATCCTGAACCAGGGCTTTGAAATGTTGTGTGGTATGGCTAGAAGAGAAAGGGACAAAGAGGAAGTGATCAGTGGAACATGGTTGAAATACCTGCAACACTATCTGTTGCTATCCTTTTTCTTGCCATTTCCTTCTGCCGCTTTTTCTTTTTCTTTTTTTCACTTCCCAGGTTCTCAGATTTGGATGTCAGTGCAGTGTTGCATCAATGTAGAGTAAATTAAGCTGAGAGTACTATGCCTGAGATTCCACAATGAGTTTGACAGCTGAGCATGGCTTGATCTTGAGTTTTTCATGTTAAGTTTCTACTTTCAAACCTGTACACTGCAAGACACATGAATGCAATGTCTGCAAATGAAATTATAAGAAGAAATACAGGTTGTAGAATATTAGTAGTGTAACATTTCCCTTCTTATTACAGAATGGTGAACTAATTTATGGTTGCAAAGATAATGATGACACTTTCTCGGATTTGAATGAACTTGCTCATCATCTGAAGCCTTTTTTCTTCCCATCAAATGGCCTGGTCAGTGGGCCCCACTGCACAAGGACAGTTCTAAAAGAATTGATTCATGTGATAACAACAGTTTTACTAAGTACCACAGAAGCTTGTAAAGCAGGTGATATGAAGACAGTTCCCTCCTCACAAGGAAGGAGTTACTGTGAAGCAAGTGCTTTTAGTAAAGAGCTAGTAAAAAATGGTAAGATTTTTCAGACTTTCATTGTTCAGCATAGAAGTCAAAGATTACAGGATATATATTGTTGCTCATCAGTATGGTTCAGCTGCAAATGATCTGTGTCATCTACTCTACATTTTCTAGCCATGCACTGTGTACATATTTATTTATTTATTTGATTTATACCCGGCCCATCACGCCTAAAAGACTACTCTAGGCGGCTATATTTTTACTGTTCTTTTTTGCTACATATGGCCTTAATGCTTGATGGCAAAATAGTAATGGATGTATTTGCATAGTTTGTCTCTTAGTGATTCTATACCATAAATAGAGGTCTGAAAACTTTAGAATGTAATGGTAAAACTACTCTTAATGTAATGACAACAATCTCTGCTGTGAGTTTCTGCTTGCCTTTAACAGTTAAAATGCCACTTATTCCCTTATCGTTCTATTTCTACTTTTACAATTGCCCACAGACTTTGTCTGGGCGTGTTGCTTTACATGCCTGAGCCCTGGGCTTGCATGTTTCACACTTCCCTCTCCTTTGGTGTTGCTACATTTCAGTTAACAGCAGTTTAGTGCTAGGTCTTGGCCCTAAATTGCGCTAAAAGTTCGTTGAAACAAGCCTACTTCATAAATCATAGTTGAAGTCTGTTTCAGTAAGCCATGGTTTTTGTTCTGTTAGGATATAAAGCTCAAGAGCACTTTAAAATGGCTGTGGAAGCATGTATGAACTCAAGGATAAGGTATTACAGTGGATGGTATTAGGTTAAATGTGAGAAACAATTGTTGTGCACAGACAACTCTGGCTATGATTAAGAATCCTAACACAGCCATAGTTCCTGATTAGAGATGGCCACAAACCAGAAGGATGGTGGCTCGTAGCTACCTATGAACCACAGACTTTCTGAACTTGAAAAAAAGAGAACTGGTTCATTTTGTAAAATAGTCTGTGCCTGGAGAGAAAGCCCCCATCCTCTCTGCCTGCTCCCATTGTTCCCCTACTTGGTCCTGCTGCCAGCTCTTCCATCGTCATTCCAGCTGCGACCAGAAGCAAATGTGCAGCCCCAATCCAGTGCTGTACGACTGCACAGCTTACAGGGAATGTTGTTCCTAGTTGATCTCCCTGATCAACTAGGACCCAGGTACATGCACAGAGATAGCAAGCCCGGCTCATGGAAGCCGGATCAGTGTCTCTCCGCATGTCCGTGCCTGTCAGCTGATAGATGGGCTTGTGGGCAGAGATAGCAGGCCTAGCTCCTGGAAGAGAATTTATATTTAGCTGAATGAATGGTTGGGACAAGGCTAGAACATGTCCATTTGATTTAATGAATATTGTGTAGAGTGGAAATTGAGTACATGTTTCTTAGCTCACATATATTTTTATCAGGGGCTTGGCATATGTTTTATAATCTTTGAGAAGGTTTAAGTATATATGCTAGTGAAGAAAATGGACAGTCCATGTGATCAGCTATGGAAAACGTGATGTCTTAGATTCTTTAGGCCCAAGATGTTGCTTCCAGAGCTACATTCCATGATATACTGCATTATTAACACATATGTTAAGGAAGTCTCAGCTTTATAAACTAAAACATAGCATTGCATAGATGTACAGATATATTTTACTGGAAAGCTATTAAATTGAAAGCATTTTTCCTACTACAGTGGTGCCTCGCTTAACGAGTGCACCGTTTAACGAAAAATCCGTATAGCGATCCCTTTTTGGGGATCGCTATACGGATCAGCCCCAATCGCCGCACTCGCTTTGCGACGATTGGGGCTCCGGCGGCCATTTTGGAGCCGCCGAACAGCATTCCATAAGTAGAGGGTCCACTGTACAAGGTTCCAAGATCGTATAGCGAAGGTTAATCCGGAACGGATTAACCTCGCTATACGGGGCACCACTGTACTTTGTCTCCTGAATGACATGGGACAGAGTGGAGGAATCAGATATGCTAAAATATATATTAAAAGACTTGTTTAGATTAGGATAATTTCTATAGATCTTTGTCTACTATGGAGAGCAGTAAAAGGACTGATGTTACTCTTTGTCCCATTGGATTCTCTTTTCAAACTAGTGCTGAATTACAGTGGTGTTTTATTTCTTTTTCTGAATCTTTTTGGGATGCATAGTTTGGGGGCGGGGAATAAAAACCTTCCCTGTGTTTAATTCTTCCCTGGTCTAATGTTCTCTCCACTAATTTTAATGACAGTTGTTGCACATGTTTTGGAACAGCAGTTTTGAAAATGTACCTTTTTCCCCAGGTAAAAATAAAACGGAGAGTGGCTTACCAAAGGGATGTGTCCTCTACAAAACGCTTCAAGTTCAGATGCTGGATATGCTAGATATTGAGGGTGTTTATCCTTTACACAACAGAGTAGAACAATACTTGGAAGAGTTTCCCAAGGAGCGGTAAAGTCTTTTGTTTCTTGTTTTAAACTCAGTGTGACAGAAAGGACAGGATTACAATGAGGTTTTGATGAGAAACAGTTTATTTAGGTTAGGGTAATCATATGCACGGAGCAACTTTGTTACGCCCTTAAAACCTTTTTTCTAAGAAGAAACCACTTCTGTTTTCTAACAAGGGACCATTTCAACTATCTTTCATCAGAAATGTGGCAGGTGCATTAAGGCAGACAATACTGATGTTGTGTTTTGCTCCTTACAGGCCTGAGGCCTGCATGGACTGTGTGTTTCTATTCTTCAGCAACATTTATTCCAATTAAATATCCTTGAAGGGCTATTAACATATCTACCAAGCAATAGCTTTTTGTTGGTACAGTGGTGCCCCACATAACGAGCGATTCGTTTAACGATGAATCCGCATAGCGATGTGTTTTTTGCGATCGCAAAAGCGCATTGTGATGTTTCTAATGGTAAAACATCACTTTGCAATGATCAGTAAGCTTTTCGCTTACCGATTTTTGCATAGCGATGTTTTTTTTAACAGCTGATCGGCGGTTCCAAAATGGCTGCCCGCTGTGTTTTCGCACCCTTTCCTCACTTACCGGGCAGCGAAAATGGTAGCCGCATGGAGGATTTCCGCATAACGGTGAGTTTTTTGCCCATAGGAACGCATTAAACATGTTTTTATGCGTTCCTATGGGCTTTTTTGCCCCGCATAGCGACGAATCCACATAGCGACGATTTTTTCGGAATGGATTATCGTCGCTATGCGGGGCACCACTGTATATCCATTTATTACATTTTCTTTAAAAATAGGAAGCTTGCTTTTTGATGCAATTCTCTCATCTTACGGATGAAGAAACAAGTGTCAGGTCAGGGAGTCTGATGCCTGAATTTTCCCCTACATAAATTTATAAGCCTCCAAGGAAAGATAGGAAATAAATGTTAGTCAGAGCTGGCAGTTTCCCGAAATGGTTAAGTCCAGTATGACCCAGAGGAATATTTTGCACTGTGTACAATTGACTCCCTCCTTATGAACAATCTGTTTCTTTGCCCCATGCAAGACAGATATAATTGTGTGGTTTCATATACTGAATTATCTGTTGATAATCCGAAGAACTTTATTATAAAAATGTAATACTGAACAATGTTTTAGGAATAGAACTATGAAAACATAATGAACTAAATGGAAAATACAAGTAACTACCCTAACAAAACTTTAAGGTACTCTAATAAAAATTAATATAGTGGAATAAGACTGTAAAATATTTAAAAGGCACACTTTCTAAGGTATAAAAAATTAACTCACAATTAAGTAATATCTGTGCAAGTATCTTAACAGATTATATAATTATAAGGCTAAAGCATAAGCAATTATAAAATCACATCAGCTTGTAGTAAAAGATCTTACTCCAGTAGAATTTACTCCCTTCTAATGGTGCTCTCTTGGCATGCTTTGTTCCTTGCCCTAGGCTATATTTTCTTGCCATTATTTATACCCTTATTTCTCCTTCATCAGCTATCAACAATCCTTTCTTCGGGCCTGGAGGTCGAGGGGCATGGTACATCGAAATTTTATAACAGGAATGTCTACTTTCCCTGCAGCTTCTGTAACTACAGGGGCTTGTAATACAGAATCTGGCAGTCTGCCCTTATGATAATAAACATTATTGTTATGATTTAAAATGTGCAAAGCTTGGAGCAATAAAGGCCTGTAGCATAAAGGATCTGGTACACCAAAGTCTTGTAAAACCAGAGTACTGTATTATAGGACTTGCAAACACAACCTCCGGTCATATTAACACATAAATATGTTCTACTTAATTCAATATATTTTCAGTTCTCTCTTTTGCTTACACTTTGCTATCATTTGTAAAATACGTTCAACTGTTAGGAATGCCACTTGGGGTTTCCACAGTAATGGTAGTATACAGCAGTGCTTTTGAGGACATCAGTGAATATACATTTCTTAGAGGAAATCCTTGGGTAGCCAAAATGGCATCACCATCCATACGCAAACAGAAGCCCAGTGAGAGCAGAGTGTGCTCAGCAGTAGGGATGTTCCATTCCTTGCTGTTGTTGCTTTTTCACTCCAAATCCCAGAATTTTCCAAAAATTCTCAGGTGAGCATTCTGGGAGTTCCAGCATCCAAATAAACACCTGAAGACACCGTCATTTCATACACCTGGAGAAGGGCTGAGGCCTCCTATGTGTTCTTCCAAGAGTTATTTCCTGCTACAGTGCTTCCTGGGACTGATAGTCTTACATTCAATGAAGGGTGCCTCCTAAGGATCCCCCTCCAGGAAGCACTGCAGCAGGAAATAAGGCCTAAAAGGTATAGAAGGAGGCATCAGCCTTTCTCCAGGTGAGTGAAAAGAAGGTGTCTGCAGGTATCTGTTTGTGGGCCTGAGAATTCTTAGAAACTTCTGGGAGCTGGAGTCTGAACAAGCACATCCCTTCTCAGGGCACAGAATAGCTGATCAGGGAGGGAAGGAGAAAGGAAGTGGTAATGGGAAATAATAAAATACAGTATTCTGGTAGTGTCATGGTTGACCGGCTGGAACTGTAAACAGTGGCAAGGCCTCTTGTTCCAAATATCAAAGGGTAGAGTTTATTTTGGGTATGTCTCTTGTAATTCTATGCTTTTGGTTGCTAATTGTAATTTCAGAGTATGGCCAGTAGAGGGTATAGTAATCTCATTTGTAAAATGAAATGTTGGTTGTAGGAATCAGATGTTAAAGACCTAATAAAGTGGAAATCTGGGAGAACTGCTGATACAGAAGTGCAGTATGTTGTTGCATTCTGAGATGCTTGATTTTATTTGAACAGTTGTCTAAATAAATTTAATTTTTTTCTTAGGAATATGTTACAGATAGATGGGCCATATGATGAATTGTTTTATGAGAAGCTACTGGATTTGTCATGTGAAGATGACGGGACAGTAGGATACGCATTGAGAAAGGTACCTCCTCTTTAAAAGGTCATATCTTTGCATGTGCCTTTTGAATAGGTACTGCTATTGTTCTGAATAATTATGACCTCATTTTATTACTGTTTCCACTGCAAAGCACTAGCTAACCAGAATCTTAGACATGCCTCTCCCATCATCTGTTGCTTTATCATTTTAACTGTAGATGGCAGGGACTTCAGCTTACTGCCTTTGAATCATATGCTTTACCCCTCAGCTATCATGCTTCCAGGTTTTGAATGTAGATTCAGCTCTGTGTGAAGCAGGGCCTAAAATGGCTTTAGCTGGCAAGGACTTGTGAAAAGCAGTTTCATTTTAATAATACTTGTTTAAAAGGCTAGAGTTTTGCTTTTAATTTATCCATATATTAAATTGTTTTTAACTATGATCACTTTAATATAGAGCCACCCAGTGTGGTATAGTGGATAGAGTGGCGGCCTAGGATTCTGGAGACCAGTTTTCATTCTCAATTGGCCATGAGAATTCACTGACAGTGTGGAACTGATAAAACCACTCCTTAAATATCTCATGTACCTTGAAAGCCTTGTTAGGTTCGCTATAAATCGATTCTGATTTGATAGCACATAACTAACTTACTTTAATATAGTTGCCTATATCTGTTCAAATTATCTATTTTCCTTCTTGTAAGTAGCCTATAATATTATTTGCCATTTTCTTCTGCATTAGCAGTTATGACATAAGTCTCTGTTTAATAGCTCCTTTTTCTATATTGGAGGTGATTGGGATATGTTCTGTATTACTCCCTTTAAATGTATAAAGGTCTGCCTGTTTGATTTGGTGTGTATGGTTACATAACATGAGCACGATGGATCACCACCTCAATCCTGCTGCTTGTAGTTTTATACAAATACAACAGGAAACTCAATTAAAGAAGTAAAAACTGATACATTCCCAGGAGAAAGTTCTGCTTTAATTTTGTTAGTTTGCAATTGAATTGATTAAGAGTATTAGGTGTTAAACACATAAGAACTTTGTGGAAAAGTGATCTTTAAAAAAATAATTTTAAAATAAATCTACCTGTTATAAATGAGTACACTGTTGCAGATTTAGTTTCCTGATTTTTGCTGTTATGTTTTTGAATTCATGAGTCAGTTGAATGCAGGTAGGGCTCAAATTTTTTTATTCCTGTGTGATCTGGTGTAATCTAATGACATGAATAAAATCTTATATTTACAAGATTAGGTGTGAAAACCTATATACAAACACAGGATTTTGCAAGGAACATAAGCTCTTGCACATTCTTAAGGGCAAACAGGCAGTAAAGGAGGTACTGGAGCAGAGACTACTGAGTGCAAGCAGGAACCCCATTAGAAAGTGGTCCAACACACTGAAGCCTACATATATTGCTGAGATTTCCATGTTTAATGTGTTATGTAAGACATGAGGCCAATGAAGATGTGTGGGGATGGAGCTAACAGTACAGTGGTGCCTTGCATAGCGACGTTAATCGGTGCAGCAAAAATCGCTGCAAAGCGATTTCGTCGCTATGCGATTTTAAAAAGCCCATAGGAATGCATTGAAACCCCTTTAATGTGTTCCTATGGGCTTAAAACTGACCTTTAACCGAAGATCCTCTATACGGCGGCCATTTTCGCTGCCCGGTGAGGAATCCGTCCCTAAACACAGTGGGCGGCCATTTTTTTAACTCGGCGGCCATTTTGGAACCGCCAATCAGCTGGGGGAAAATCATCACTTTGCGATAATCGGTAAGCGAAACGGTACTGATCATCGCAAAGCGATTTTTCCCCATTTAAAACATCGCAGTGTCTCTGTATGAAAACGCAAGTTTTCATCAGAAGTGGCTTTCTCTTCAGTTGATTGAGCCCCATTAACATGATTGACACACAAAGTCTTTTTCCTGTCAATCCTCTTATGCATGGATACAGCCAGCAGCCATTTCTGAAACATTGCAGTTGCAGAGAAGTTTTTTGAGACTTCCAGAGTGTCTCTATGAAAACGCAAGTTTTCATCAGAAGTGGGCAGTAAGGTATGCCAACCAGTCCTTCCCCCGCAAATCCCGTAATTTTCAATTCTGAGAGAACCAGCTGACAGATAGACATCTAATTGTGGCTCACCTGGGAGAAAGTCCTAAGCTGGAAGGCTTCATGGCCCAGCAGCACCCAACTTCTGGTTCAAAAAGGAGGCTTCAAAAAGGAAGCACCGGGGCACCTTCCTTTTTGAACAGGAAGCCAGGCAGAGCTAGCTTAGCCCTTTTTCCTAGGTGAACAACAACAGTTAGGTGTCTGTTGGTGTGTGTCTGTCAGGTGGAACTCCCAGAATGAAGTCTGGGTCTTGTACTTGAAAAACAAATTGGAACAAGCAAATTGAATGGCATGTTCTTAGTCAACAGCTGCAGCCTGCAGTTTGTGTGCAACATCAAGGGGTTCAGTGCAACCCCCAGCTTCCCTAGAAATGCCCTGAACTCACTTTTTTCCCTTTTGCTTTAAACTGCACTTTTTGGAATTGTCAGTGTGGTGTTATTTGCAATGTATACCTATTTCTCTAACACTTAAGGCCTTTAAAAAAAAGTAATATGGGGGAACTTAATTTGTTTTTGCACAGTTTGCATTTTGATTGACAAAATTTGTATGTGTATGGAATGGTCATAGATTGGAATTTGCCAAACCCTGGCTTATACTGGTGGTTTCTCTGCTGTGTTTTTGTTGTATAGGAGCAATTGCATGGCATAAAGAAAATTGGTTTGTTTGTGAACTGCCTCAAGGAGCTTTTTATAACTGTCTGTTAAGATGAGTCTTATATTGCTTTTGTTACAGGTTCAGCAATACAGAGTTGCAATGACAGCAAAGGACTGCTCGATCATGATTGCCCTTTCACCTTGCCAACAGGATGAATGGTACTACTGTAGCCCTTTTAACAAAGAGAATTTCAGATAGAAAATGCAGTATATTTTTCATATGGACTCCTCAGAATGATCATTTAGGTGGCACTTGAGTAGTTCTGTTGAAAAACATTCCAGTCCACTAACATTTCAAATAAGAGTAAATAAAGGTGACACATGAAACACCTTAGCAAAAAGCTTGTTTTCTAAGGTTTCTTGATGGTAAACAAATCTTCTTTATAGGTCTTGATATGATATCAAAATGTTTAAACTGAGTTCATCCATAGCTACTGTTCACTAGGTTTCCTGCTAGTTGTGCCTCTGAAGAAATATAATTTACCATTTCTCATTTGTCTTGATATATAATAACTGTGCTAGTTATGTTTTCATCCACTCTATCTTAAGTGGCACCTATATTTATTAATTTGAGCATTACATTATTGTCATGGCCTTTTAGTCGAACTGGCCTTTAGTTGCAAAAATTGCCTATTATGTGAAGTCTAAGACGTGGTGGCACTGCGGGTTAAACCACAGAAGCCTCTGTGCTGCAAGGTCAGAAGACCAGCAGTCGTAAGATCAAATCCACGCAATGGAGTGAGCGCCCGTCGCTTGTCCCAGCTCCTGCCAACCTAGCCGTTCGAAAGCATGTAAATGCGAGTAGATAAATAGGTACCACCACGGGGGGAAGGTAACAGTGTTCTGTGTCTAGTCGTGCTGGCCACGTGACCACGGAAACTGTCCACAGGCAAATGCTGGCTCTACAGCTTGGAGATGGGGATGAGCACCGTGCCCTAGAGTCGGACACGACTGGACTAAATGTCAAGGGGAACCTTTAAGTACTTAGCATAACAGTCCCTTTTTCTTTGCCTGTTCCTAAAATTGATAGATGGCCTACTTAACAGGAAAAAGGGATTAATCAAGTCAGATTGGAGTAGATTATTAAGATTTATTGGCATAGGCAGGTGAAGTCTAACATTACCATTTTAAAAGAATAGCAGGGGCTGTTTTTTATTTATATGAAGTATTGTATGTTTTAGGAAGAAACAGATTTATTAAATATGCTTGTAGACTTTTTTAAAGCATAACATAAAAGCAACTTAATGTATGTGTTAGAAACTACAGTGTGTTAACTGCAGTACATGACCCCATTCTTTTATTTCATGCAGTGGATTATTTGTGTGTTCAAAGTAACAAGCATCCACCCAAACAGCAACTCAGGATTTTCCTACAAGGGAGGCAGGAAACTTCGTCCACTCATTCATGTCTGTAAAAGTTACTTTTTTCATGAAGCAGACTGAAAGTTTTTTGTTACTTAGCAAAAATATATAGTGTCACATTGACAGATTGAGAGATTATTTGTAGGTAATGGAGAATCCTACTGGAAAGTTCTAATATATATGTGCAGTTCAATAATTTAAAACAAATAGTTGATAAGAAATATAAATATATCCACTGATTTACTTATCTGCAGTTGGAAAATATTAAAAACATTAAAAGAAAATAATCCAGAAAAACCCCTATTTTCACATGTATTGCCAGAACTGGCCACTAGAGGGAACCAGAGACTGTGCTGTAAATACTTGTTAGTGAAAAATACATAGTATGGTCTCTGGCCCCTTCTAGTGGTCACTTTTGGTAATGCATCTGAAAATAATAGTTTCTTCCCCTTTTTTTTCTTTTATCATTTTGTTTGTATAGTAGCAAAAACTATATATATCCCCAGTGGATGGGGGGAGGGCTTATGTATTTCCAAAAGCCTTTTGATACATAAAAATGACTATAAGAACACTGAAGAATATTGCATTTTCCAGTGTAAAGAATTTGCTTTTCCACCACAGCTTATGTTCCTTGTCAGTAATAGAATATATAAAGTCTTCATTCTCTGGGAAGGTGCTTTGCACACAGGTGATACACAAGTGACCAATTTGTAGCAGTGTGGTTGTACAGTAAACTGTAGTGGAAGGGACATAGATAAGTGTACTAGAATTCCACCATGGCGGCAGCAGAGTACATAACTTTAGCAAAGAACACTGCATGGTGCCAGGTGTCATTGGTATTGTTGACTGAAAGATACAGAACATTGCATTTTGCTATCTCTCTGCACTAATTAGCTTTATTATCTCAATGACGGGAGGTTATAATAATAATTCCTCTGTTTTCAAAGTAATAGAATATAATTTGATGAAACTTCTTATATTAACTTTAAGATAAACAGATGGCTGCAGTGTTCCTTTGTGCAGCAGTAGTGGTGGTATAAAAAATTAGGGAGGCTTGGCAAAACCTGAGGTGGATGCACAAAGGAAAATGATCAACTGAATTCTTCTGTGTTCCACATTCTGGACTGGAAAGTATTTTACTTGAGACCACAACTACATGAAAAGTGCAACATCAGCTGTAGTTTGTCCTGATTAGGTAATGAGTAAGCGGTGGTGGGATACTGAAAATCCTTTGAAACACCAGACTTTTTCCTTAGGATCAAGGAATAGTAAATGCCATTTTTTTTATTCAATTTGCAGCTCCGAGCAGAGGCCAGTGGTTCTAACTTCTAAATCAAGATTTATCTTTTCACTCTCCGTCTTGGACCTGGACCTTAAGCCATATGAAAGCATTCACCATCAGTACAGACTTGACGAGAAGATAGTAAACTACTATTTGAAGAACACACAGGCCAAAGATGACTCGCTGATGTCAAATCTCTTGAAAGAAAATGAAGACTGCACACTAGTTCTCCATAAAATGTAACTGGGTAAATATTTATTAAATGTAGAGATAGGGGAGAATTAAATTATATCCGTTTAGTGGGTTTTTTTTTCCAGTTGTGCTTTAAATCTAGATGCCTTTCAGACACATGGAATACCACTCAAACCAACCTGAAGGAATGAATTTATTGTAAAAAGAGAGAGACATGCATATTTTGCAACAATTAGCAAACTGCTTGCTGTGAAAGTAGTAGGTTCAAAGCAATCTATTACCCTATGAAGCTTAGAAACGAATGTTTTCAACTTAATTTTCAGTGCAGGGAGCCACCATTCCAATGAGGCATACAGATGCATTTCTGTGAAGAATATATGACTTGTTGAAAATAAAAAATTAAAATAGGCAGATGAATTCACATTTCAGATCACTGTTGAAACTATATGTGGCACACAAGTGCTGTTGTCTGGTAGTTTCCATATGAACAGAACTGAATTTTTCATCATCTTGTGAGAAGATTCTAAATATTGGCTGCTGTTGAAACAATGGTCGTTTTCAGATTTGAATTGAAGTAATGCAAGCAGACTTACAAAACAAAATAAACTTACCTAGGTCATAGGGAAAAATTACCTTACTTCAATTGTGTCCGCTTAAAACTGTCAAAACAAGCTCTTCCTTAACTAGGAGCTACTTTGAGAGATTCTATAGAACAATTTAATTGCAAGCAAGTTTTTCTAACAGCCCAATCTGAGCACAATTGTTCTCATCTGTTTTCTCAAGTAATGATTAATTTCTTTAAAAATAGTTAATCCGTGTGCCTCTTTGGTGTTAAGATGCCTTCCAATAAAGTAAATCACTCTAATGCTTAAAGGCTTAAACGTCTGGCTTTAATTTTTTTCTTCTCCTAAATTGTAGATTTTATTTTTCTTTTCATATTTTGCTGAGTTCTTTAAGCATTAAAAAACACAGCAGTTTGATTTTCCTGGGTTTGCAGAGAAATTATCTCTGTTTCTATGGATCTTAATTATCCTCAGCAAAGGGTCATTTTGTCTGAAAGTACCTGTGCCTAACTTGTTACTGCCTTTTGTACCAAAATAGGAAACAATGGAAAGATACATTAGGTTGGGCAGAATGCTGGGCTCAGCCTTTCCTCCCTGTCTTTACCCACCACAATGGGTTTGACTTCTGCAGGAGTAGGAAAGCCACTGTTTTTGTATCAGCTGGGTGATGTAGAGTCTGGAATCAGAACTTTGGAAGTGCTGATCTCTTCTTACTGCAGAACAACAGGAGAAAATGGCATAAGGGTTTTTTTTAGTGGCAAGCCACTATGTAAACCTTACTGCAAGTGAGTGAGAGCCTCTTCTGTGTACAAGCTGTGGGAAACTTCAGATTAATGCTACTTCAGCCATTCACATAGCAAAATGGTGTGAAGCCAAAGGTGAGTTGTACTGATGGGATGGCACTTCTGCTCACGCAAGGCAGGCTCCCCATTTCTTGCCCTTCAGGTGCTACAGTGTCATGCTGTTGCAAGAGAGTCCTTTGGCCCTCAGTAATGGCTTTTGGGGAGCAGGAGCCCGGAAATTCTCACTGAGAGAATGGAGTTCTGCTTGTGCTTCTCTAAATCCATCCTAGCTATGGCCATTTAGAAGCACTTTCTTAGGTTCTGACCACCTTTTTCTTGTCATAAATAATAGGATTTTCCTATACTTCTGAAAGTATTTATCCCTATGACTAATATTTTCTTGCTATACCAATTAAGCTGCTACAGTAATCTTAACTGTAATGGTAAGATTATGAAACTTCATTGCTCTGAAATATTTTCTCGTGGATACCACAGAATTCCTAGTTTTGCGAGTATCTTCAGTGACTCGTACCCATTCTGCCATTAATTCTGAAACCAACCCCGCCCCCTTTGGTATCCATCTGGCTTAGTTACAAGATTTTTGTCATACTGACAAAAATTATATTATAGTTTGTCAGATATTCCAAATATTAGTTCTGGCATAAAACTTAACCTTCCTTGTTTACATTATGACTTAAGAGTCTAGTAAACCTGCCATGCCCGATGACTGGTTATACAAATTCTGAAGTATATTATTGGGGAAGCTTCTGTGGTGTTAAGAGTTAATCTTACTGAAATATTAAAACTTCTGGCCTGTTCACCATTAAGAAAGAAAGCTTGCCAGCTCTATATATCCATAAGTAACAAACAAAACAAGGAATTAGAAGAAATAGCTGTAGAGCAATGTGCATTTGAGTTTTCATACTATTAAATTCATTTAATCAAAGAGGGCAAATTAAGTATTTATATTGTATATTTAGGGTGACAAGTGAGTTAAAATGCTGCTAAAAGTACTCAGTTTGGGGCTTGAAGACTGATTACAAAACACTTGTAGGAAACACTTACAAATTTTGCTTTTCGAGGAGACTGTTTCAAACAACAGCAAGAACTGTAGCTAATTTAACAGTGTTGCATTAAAAGTTGTTATCAAAACTGAAGGTTGCAAGAAAACAGTTTGAAAAAATAAAAACACCTGGAACAAATTATATACTGTGTCATTGCTCTTTCTTGCTATTTTTCTATAGTCTTCTTGAATCTTAAATCAACATGTTGCATTTGTAAATCATACCTTATGCTTTAATCTGTCATAAAGTACCACAATTCTTTCTATGGGAGAGGTGTGAGAAATCTGGTTTTGCTTTCAATCCTTCATTATGGAAGTAGTAATTTTGCTACTTTTTGAATTTTTTTGTATCATACACTTTATTTCATTAAACCTTTCAGCATCATTGACTAAACATCACTGTTGCATATATAGCTGTGAATTAAAACTGCCACTTTTTATAGACTTGAATTTATCTGGTTAATCTGAAGAACTTTTACAAAATGCTACAGAAAGGGGAAAACCACTTTAATTCAGAAGGTTAATTTTTGAAATTCATTCAACTTGTCTCTTATTATTTAGCATTTTGTATTTAAATGGCTATATTTATTTGTCTGACAATATATAATTTTATATATATATATATAAAATTATATGTGCCATACTTGTGCCATAATTGTACAGATAGCATGTTTTATGGGTATGGTTTCTAAATGGAAAATAACTTAATGTTTATATGCAATAAAATAACAGATTCATAACTTATGTACTGGTGCTTATTTTCCTTTGCAAATTGAGGTGATCAGTGTTTCGATGGAGGCCTCTATCCCAAGCACATGCAGTAGGCTTCGAAAGCAGTATGGAGCATTTGATATAAACTTGTTGGCCTTTTCAACTGTAAGAGGAAAAAGATATGACATTAGATTCCCTTCAACTATACAACTGAATAGCGATACAAGTGATACAAGACTCTCGCATTTCTGATGCTGGTGAGGTCCAATAGTATGCTTTAGAATTTCTAGGTACTGAGAGAAAAAAACACTTTCTGTTAACAGTAGCAGTATGTTTAACTGGAAACTATTTCTATCTGTCATTAAGATAACCAAGCTTGCACTGTTTAATGATGAACAGGTCAGAATTGCAAATCATCTTCATGCAACTCATATTTCGGTAGTACATTAATAGATATAGCAAAATAGTCCTATTTGTTGTAAATCAGCTGGTCATGAAACAAGGGAGAGGTGAATGAAAGCTTTCCTAGCTCTTATAATCATGGCACTATTTCAGTTATCCTTGGATTAAAGTCAACCACTTCAGAAATAAGGAGCACCAAAAATGTCAGCATTTGTGCAGCACCTTGAAGTGTGTCAATATACATTAGCTGCCAGCAATCCTTACAATAGCAAGCCCAAACTAGTGATGGTGTAGAGAGATTCTCTTTCCATACTCTTCTGTGGGCTGGGTAATATCAGAAGATGCAGCCCACTGTCTGTCATCTTAGAGTCATGTGGAAATTTCCCACTCAGCACTTGGGCTGGGAATCATGTCTCCTTCCCCTGGAGGAGGAGAGCAGAGGAACAACCTGGCTCGTAAAACTCAGATGGTGCTTCAGATGCCTGATGCAAAAGGCTGGCTTCGCTCTTCAGCCTTCAGTTTAGTGGAAAGGGGACTAATTTGGGACAGTTGCTTTTTCAAATATCTCTATTACAGTCTTTCAAAAAGTGACATGTTTACATTCAGTGTCTCTTACATTCAGAATTGAAACAACTGAAATTGTTATAGCAAATCAATCACACAGTGGCTGAAATCCTGTTCAGCACTTTACACTGCATTAAGGCTGATGATTTCATCAGCCATGGTGATTTTTCCAATTTCAGTATTTCAAACTGCACCTTCCAGAAGGTCCTGAGGCTCCTTTGGGATCCCTTTCACTGTAGGAAAGTAACTGGGTGGGATGTTTCTTTAATGTCTGAAAATCATTGCCTGGTAAAGTCTAGCCCACATTTTATAGCTTGGCCCCAAAATTATCATGATATACGTTACTTGAAAGTCTTGTTGAAATCAAGATACACTACATCAACATCATTCACCTCCTCTACCAAGCATGTGATTGTGTCAAATAAAGAGATAAGATTTGTTTGGCACGGTTTTGAGAAACCCTGCCTGGGTCTTAGTAACAACTGTGTTTTCTAAATGTTCTCAGACTATCTGTTCACCTATCTTTTCTAGTATCAGTGTCAACCTGACTGGCCTGTAGCTACTGAATACCTCCTTTCTCCTTTTTGACAACATTTGTCCACTTCCAGTCTTCACAGAAATCACCTATTCTCCATGAATAAGTACAGAATATAGACAGAGGCTTTGAAAATACATTGCAAAATTTCTTTAGTACTTCTGGGTGTCAAGCCGTGTCTTGCAGACTTGAGTTCATTTAAAATAACTAGGTATTCCTGTGTCACCTATCAACTTAACTTGGGAAGGAGTTAAACAGGAGTCAGTCATTTGATGTTCCAGTAAAAAGTAAGATGTAAATGCAATAGAAGGTTGCATCAACGGAAATATAGTGTCCAGGTCAGAGGAAGTAACTGTAGCACTCTATTCTGCTTTGGTCAGACCCTGCCTGCCCTATGTCCAGTTATGGGCATCACAGTTTGAGAAGTGTATTAACACATCAAGAATACTGAGACATAATAGAAATTTAATATGGAGGGAAATGGTATTGTCGGAACATTTTAATAGATTGGAGAATCCTCTTTAAAGAAAAAATTGCAGAAGAAGTAAACAGAATAACTAATCCCTTTTTGAATATTATGTTAGAATGTTGGAAAGAATTTATATATATATTGAGTCCACATATCTCACCACTACAAGAAGTAGTGGAGACTCAGAGCTTCCCCCAAATCCTTAAAACTAAACTTAATATATTAGATATATTAGTAGAGAAAGGGTTAAATACTGTACAATAAGGGTTTGGATGAAAAAGATGAAAGATAAAAATACTATAAAGGAAATCTTGGGAGAGGAAGAGGGGATATCTTGGTTAAATATACTCCAAATGGAAAGTTGGGCAAGGGAGTGGACTAAAAAAGTAGGAGAAATTAGAAGACTAAATTTGAGGAGACCATAGAGCAAAGACAAGTTCAAGAGGAAGAAAATAAAAGAAAGGGCACAGTAAGTGTGATTTATAAGATTCTAATAAATGTTGGATATGAAAAAGCTATGATGAAAAACCGATGGCAAGAGGATTTGGAGGAAGAGGTTAAAAGTGAGGATTGGAACAAAATATGGTCACAAAGAATAATGAAGAATATGTCTAAAAGGGTAAAAGAAAATTGTTATAAGGTTGCATTGAGATGGTACCTTACCCCAGTAAGATAGAATATTATAAAAAATGTACCATCTTAATGCTGCAGATGTAAAAAGGAAAAAGGAAGTTATTTACATACTGTATGTGGTGGACTTGCAAAAGAAGAAAGAATTGGCATTGGTTTTCAAAGAAATCAGAGAAAGTATTGGATATAATATTAAAATATCACCAACTATTGTCCTTTTAAATATAACCAAGGATGACCATCTTAAAAAAGAACAGAAAGAACAATAGTTATAATGGTCACAGTAGCAAGACATATTTGCAAAAAACTGGAAATTTAATCTTGAAGATTGGTATAAAGAAATGTGTTTAGCGATAAATGGTAAGCGAACGTGAAATAAAAGTAAGGAGAGTGACAAAATACAATGATTTTAAAGAGGTATGGAATCTATATTTGAATTATGTTTTTATAAAAGGGAAAGGTCATAAACCAGCAGAAGAATCAATGTATTTTTGGAGTGGAATGGGGTGAAAAGAGATTAAAAGAATATATTTGGTTATCTGATCCCAAGGGTGATGGTGGCACGGGGGGGGGGAGATTTTTGTATGGTATATATGTTAGTATTTTCATTGCTTTTCCTTAATTAATAAACATTTTTAAAAAAGAAGGCTGAGATACGATGTGGTAGCAGTCTTTAAATATCTGAAGTGGAAGTCTTCTGCATCTTCAGACGGTACGACCTGAAGCAATTAGTTCAAATTATAAGAAAGGAAATTTTGATTAAATATTAGGAAGAGCTTCATAATACCAAGAACAGTGAAACAGACTACTTTGGAGGGTGAGAGACTCTCCTTCATTGGGTAATATTCAGCAGTTTCTTATCTACCCCAAAGATTCCTAGTCAACAGAAAGCTACCAAAGCTGAATGAAACTGATGTGATGAAAAAGAGAAATATACAGTGAGTAAGCATACCGGATATTGGTATTTTGTGCAGGAGGTCCAAGGCTGGTATAACTTTTCCTTCTTCCTCCACATGTATCTTCCAAACAATCATTAATTCAAATCTGTTGAGGGCAAAGAATATTACATGTCAAAGTGTTCTTGGAAAATTTTGTATGAGGTGAATGGGCACATTGGGCATCTCATACAAATGCACTCCCTTAGCTCTCTCTATGAAGACATTCAGGGGCTGTATTACTGATCTGTGCTGTCAAGTTCTGCTGCTTTCAATTTTCCCCTGGCACTATTATCTTTTCTAGAGAGTTGAGTCTTATCACAATGTGCCTAAAGTACGATACTGTACTGTTAGTTATTTTTGCTTTTAGACAGAGAGAGTTCAGGCTTGATTTAATCTAGAATGGAAGGACAACCCAAGTTTCAAAAGAAGGCATCCTTAGTCTATGTCTGACACAACTCTGACAAGCAGGAAATAAACTGAACACGCTTATCACGATGTCCTCATCCATTGCTATGTGCTGTCGAGCTACTTCCAATGTAAGAGAATGGGGAAAGAAGTCGAGTGGCTTGCAGACCTTTTCTTTCACCCATGGGGAAGACAACGAAACCGCCTGAGATGAAAGCTGTTGCCTAAAGCTGATCTTACAAGGTTACGAACTCCATTTGGGAACTCACTTTGAACAAAAGAGCCTGGCCTCAATAGTAGGGCACAATAATTTGGGGGACTCTTCTGTTTCTTCTGCACCCTCACCCCAGCTTTGTAATACGTACCTGATTAAGAGACCTGCAGGACTCCAAAGGTTGCCTGTTTGTGAGAATCTAGTGGTTTAAGCATGCAACTAGATGGTATAATACCGCAGGATTTGCTTACAAAGTGAGTGAATTTGAAGTACTTTTTACCAACTGCATGATAGAAATTCAATTTGGCCCTGCCCTTTTTGCTCCCAAAGTGGCTTTTTTCTTCTTCTGTGCCACTGGGTGGCTTCTACACTTTTGAAGCTCGAACAATTTGAACAGGCTTTTTCCTGTATGGTTAGTTGTGAATGTGGTGCATCTCTGCTTGTGCTGTTTGGTGATGTATGCAGTTGGGACATAATGCTCAGGGTAATATGCAAAAGCAAAGCACCACGATTTTAATGTGGGGGAATTGGCTGCTAGTTCTGAATTCTGTCAAACGTGGTAAGCTTCCTATGATGTGGGAAGACCCTATTGCTCTGAAGCAAATGCTGTTGGAATTTAGCAACCTTTGTATGCTGCCTTTAAGAGGTTTTGGCTGGGAATGACCTATCTGGATGAGGGTGACTGTCAATCAGTCCAACAACAATCAAATGTTCCCTCACTGCCTCATATTTTGAAAGAGCCACAGTAATCTAAGCAAGAGATATTCCTAGCTCTTTTTCCCCAGTCAGTGTTGGTCATTAGTCAGTTAGTCATGTAATTAATCAATATGCAGCTATGAATCAGTTAAGTTCAGTTCATGTAACCAGTCATTTGTTTTTACAATATGCTGTTTTGATCTGTTCAGAACTGTGAGTAAATGAAGCCTTTTAGTTCTTTCTCTTACCAGTGTCTCTAAGTGAGTTATTGAAACAGTAAGTGCCAGCTGAGGAGAACAATACAAAAAGGGAGAATCTACTCTGGGAAGACTTGGAGCTAACTCTGCTCTGTAGGTTTCTGTAGAGCTTTAGACTGCTACATTTCTCAAAATCTTTTCTACAGAAAAATAACATCGAAAGGTATTCTCAGTCTAAGATTCTAGTACATCAAAAATCTGAACAATAATTTTGCAAAATACATCATAATTCACACATCAGAATGGTTCTATGAAAGCGACCACCACCTTCCTCTTCCCGTCCATTACTCTTATTTTCCCTTACTTTCAAGTAAAGCATGTAGGAATTACCTAATCTCAGTGCATATGATTTTAATCTATTGGCATGGATTAAACTGAGAAACTGTGACCAAAGATAGTGAAGTTTGTTTCCATGTTATTTTTCTATAGAAAAGTTGTTGAGAAATGAAGCATTCTGAAGCTTTAAATGAGAAAAAGGCTTCACAGTGAACCACAAAGGATCAGCAGAAGTGGGATGAGAGGAAGAAATGGAAGGAATGGGGGCAGTGGGCTGCAATGTGACTTGCATGAATGGTGAATGTATGAATGGTGAACCTGAATCAATCTGCAGCCCTTGTGTGAGCACTGATTGAGATTTCTAATGCAATAAAGGCTGTGAATCTAATTGCAGCAACGTATAGTTGCACCTTAATAGAGGTATCACCCATTCTTGTTTCTGGGTTCTGTAAGACTATGTGGCTTTTTTCTTTCTGCTCTGAATAAAGACTTTGACTGGTTTTAGTCTATGCTTCATTCACGCTCGTCCTTCAACACCAATGAGTACCTGGGGATCTTGCTTAACCCTCCACACATTTGAAGCGAGGATCTTTTTTACAGCAAAATAAAGCAAGACTCAAACCTGTCGAATACAGGCATAGTCTGCTTGTGTTCTGCTATTATACCATACAAAATTATAGAAAGCTAAAAACATTTTGAGAATTTTAGTAACTTTCTAGCTAAATTCTATGAAGTAAATAATAAGCCTTGTTTTAAGCACTGATTCTATCGAAATCAGGTCTCTCTTGCTTTATATTTCTGTTTTGGAGAGACTTAATTTGCAGATTCTAAGAAAAATCTAGCTTTGCAAAGCTTTTCCTTCTCAAATAAGTGTCCCTGCTTATTTTATTTATTTATTTGACTTCTACACCACCCATCTGGCTGCCAAGCCCACTCTGGGCAGTTTACATGTTAAACAAATATAACATCAAACAACAATTAAAAAAAATAAACATAGTAATTATGATATCAAAATTAAACACGTATACACCAACAAATGTATATGTGTTGTGCTTGATAGAGAACATTTCTATCAGCATCACTTTCATCTGGGAATTTCTGAAAACAGTGAGGTCATTTGTCCTGCCGTTTGGTCCACTGCAGGGATGGGCTGGCTTGCTTCTTTTTCCATTGATGGATAGAGCAAACCATCCCATCCCCAGAGTGTTCCTATCTGCACCCTTCTGGGTCTCTGGTAGGCATTTCTACTATTTTGGTGAGGTAGGATTTCTCCATTTTGGTTTCCAGCATGTGCGATTGATGGAAAGAAACCAAAATGAGCTTGCGGCTGTCAAACTGCCTGTCGCTTTCAATTTCCCATATAGTGAAATGGCTTAAGAAGATAGCCACTTCAGGATAAGGACCACTTAAACACTTCCTCTGCTCCATGGAAAAGTAAAGAAAGCTAAAAAAAAGTTTTTATAATCTATTATGGCAGTGCTGATGTGCTGCATCACAAAACAAACAAACAAAATTTTTTTAAAAACCACCCTGAAAAATTCCTCCTGGAAGCATGGGGAGATAGGAGACAAAGAGGGGATTTTTTTTCTTTTCCTTGTGACATTTCTTAAAGGTCTCGTCAAGAACCTCCTTGCAGCTGAATCCATTGTTGAATACCAGCTGGTGGTGGATTAAGTTATGAACAGATTCCAAAAGAGCCTGACCAAACAGAGTCATCTGAGGTGCAAGGATCGCAAACTTAAGCAACCCTATTTAGCCACACTCCAAATAGCCTATATAGACAAGCCCTTAATCATACCATTGTGTTATTAAAACATGTGCTTCTGAAAACATCAATATCAAGACACTTTGCACCACCTCTTTTCCATCTAATTCAGCTACTTCCTCCTTTCCATCTGGTTCAACTGTAATTTGATTTCACTTGTTGCTTATTACAGTTTATAAAATGACTCCTCAAAAAGCATTATGAAGTTGTCTTACCCAGGAAGCTGAGTGTTTCTTAAGATCATGTAATCTCCAGACATTCCTTCAGGAAGTACAACAACATCAGGGTACTTGCTCTATTGAAACAACAAAACAACAATCCACAGTATTATAGCCTCTTGTAAAGGAATATATATTGGAGTCTACAAAATCTGCTGATATGCCAAGTAATTATTAGATATAAAATTCATCTGTGCACCCTAGATCTAATGATATTTTAGTCCCAAAGAACATAAAACTAGCAGCATGTGCTATTTTATTAGGTGAGCTCCTTTCAGATTGTTTCTGGCTGTTCCAAAGGTTCATGAGAACACATTTAGGGTGGTAGCAATGTGGGTCTAGGGCTTGGCACTCTGGAACAGCAGCAGTGTCTCCTGCTTGGCAAACTGGTCAAGCAGGCTAGTAGCATGATGCCAGCACTAGGTACACAGATTCATATTTGTGCAAATCCTTTGCATGGTCCTGGATGTGCTTTTTAGCTCTGTGGCCAAAGAGAAATGACAGAGGACACCTACATGCCCCCTTGTAGCAACTGAAGCAGCCCATTCAACTGGGTGAATGCAGGAGAAATAAGCTGAAAGGGGAGTGCGGGATGGGGATTAGAAAAAGAATTAAGAAAACTGCACATTAGCTTCACCTCCAACTGGATGGAGGAGGACAAACCCATATGAGAACGGGTTCCTCCACTGCACCACCCAAGGAATGCAGCTGTTACTGTGCTGTGGGAAAGCCTTGAAAGTTCAGGGAGAAGACAGAGCCAACGGAGTGATGTGGCTACTAAAAGGGCAAATGCTATTTTAGGGTGCATTAATAGAAGTATTTATTTTTATTTTCATTTATTTATTTATTCAATTTATATCCCGCCCATCTGGTATATTGTACCACTCTACCACAGTATAGTTTCCAAATCCTGCAAGGTGCTAGTCCCCCTCTATTGCGCACTCGTTAGGCCTCACCTTGAGTATTGTGTCCAATACTGGACACACCACTTCAAGAAGTATGCTAACAAACTGAAACAAGTTCAGAGGGGGACAACAAGGATGATCAGGGGGCTGGAAACCAAGCCTTATGAGGAAAGGCTGAAAGAATTTGGCATGCTTAGCCTTGAGAAGCATATGATAGCACTTTTCAAATATTTGAAAGGCTGTCATACAGAGGAGGGGCAGGATCTGTTCTCAATCATCCCAGAGTGCAGGACACGCAACAATGGGCTCAAATTAAAGGAAGCCAGATTTCGGTTCAATATCAGGAAAAACTTCATAACTGTTAGAGCAGTACGACAGCGGAACCAGTTACCTCAGGAGTTGGTGAGTGCTCCAACACTGGAGGCATTCAAAAAAAAATCTTAGATAATCATCTGGCAGATATACTTGATTGTATTCTTGCATTGAGCAGGGGTTTGGACTTGATGCCCTTTTAGCCCCCTTCCATCTTCACTTTTCTATGATTCTAAGTCTGTGAAGATTCTCAGTCATCCAGGTGGAGGTTATCTGGGAACTGAGCCATGGCAACTGGACTTGTTTCTTATTAGGTTGAAATGTTTTGCTACTCGTCCACGTAGCTTCTTCAGTCAGAATGAAGAAGCTACTTGTTTACTATATTATACTATATGGGGTTGGGACGTTCGCTGTTTCAGTAATGTATATATGCTAAAAATTCCAGCTTGTTCTAGGTCTACTCTATTTGGGATTTTGTTCTACCAGGTGATACCAAAATGTCATACGGAAGGTGTTCAGCTTCCTCTCCTGCCGTGCACAAAGGGTCCAGGACTCACTGCAGTACAGGAGTGTGCTCAGGACACAGGCAATTATGAACAGCCTGAATTATTAAAAACTGATATTTTCACAGCAGTTTATATCTTGATCATTTATTCAAAAGAGAGATTGCAGTGATCTGGGCTGTAATTGTTTTAACAATGGCTGCATTCATAGACACGGTTTGAAAGGAACGTCCTCAAACTTCTACCATTTTCTTTACAGAGTAAACACATGTGCTTCCCATTTGGCTGATTTACAAAATAAGGTATCTTCTTTAAATCATTTTGCACAGATCAAAGGGGACCGGTTAAAATATAGTAAGATTAGGTCATTTCTTGGAAATGCACTGGAGACAAATTATTTTGCAAGATTTCAGATACATCTGGAATATAGAAATGGTTGCCATATGCCCCCTTGTTATTGTTGTAGCTTGCAGAAGTGATACAAAACAGAAAATGTGTTATTATTAAAAGTAAAGTGGAAACCTTGCTGCTGCTGGAATCTATATGAACAGGAGAAGTCATGGATCTTGGACGGAGCTCTTTCCAGCAAAAGGCAAATACCAGGGACTGACCTAGTAGGTCGCTAGAGGAGTGAGAGAAGCATGGAGGGTGGGTTTTACTTTCAGGACTTTCTCCTTGGGAACACTGACTTAATGTGACTGACAGCATTTCAGCACCCCAGTTTCATAGCAAACTGCCATAAGCTACATGATTATGCTTTCGTGCTAACTTGAAAACTGTAATCTTGTAGTCAGTAAACACAGCCTGTAAAACAAAATGAATGCAGGCCTCTAGCAGACATGTTAGGCTGCATCTCATGTCACTCCTTCTCCACTGACTGTGCTACTTAGAGCTAATGGGAATAAATGCGAATTTTAGGCGAATTTCAGGCGAACAACATCTGGAGGGTTACACTGCCTACCCTGGATGTGCCGGGATTGCATTTGTTTCTGTTTGCAAAATGTTCCATGAAAAATCCTTGTTAAATGTCCTTGCAAGGTGGCTGGAAAGTTTGGAGTAACAGTTACTGCTTAGTGTGGCGATGGAGAAGATACTGATTACACAGGCTGTTTTGCTGAGGCTGCATTTAAGTACTTTCATGGAGCGACTGGAGCAAATAATTTAAAAATGCTCAGAGGATTCTACTGGGAGCAAAAATAACAATCCCGGATATTAATTTACAGTCGTAAAACTACAAAAGCAAATGCAATGAATAGTTGGGCAACCTCAATCACGTTAGTTACCAACCAAGCTGGCAACGAATGGCAGAAGACATAAGAGGTAGAGCATTCATGGCCACCCACACTGGTTTCCTAGTTTCCCAACTGGCCTTCTCAGAAGACGATGGAACCAATTGCGCAGTGATTATGCAAAGCTCGGGGGGGATAAGGATTTTCCTTTGGTTAACAATTCAGCCGATGGCTAGTTGCCAGCCACCAAACAAGCCATCCATAAATCAGTCAAGATCTGCTCTAAGTCACGGCATTTCAGATGGTATTTTCAACTTCAAGTTGCTCAGCATTTTCCTGAAACCAATGGAAATTGATTTCTCAATTTTAAAGAGTCTTAATATATTCAAAAAGCACTTCTTAACAGAGCCTAAAGATGTACCCTTGGGGCCACTGTAGCTCCCAGCAGCCCTTGCTTTACAAAAATAACTAATGATTGTGTTAGAATTACCTGATGGGAATGGAAAATCCTCCACATTCCTGGTGGAAAGCTTTGTATGTTTTCACTCTAGAGATGACGACTAAAAAACCTCTTCCATCCACATTGGGCAAAACAGCAGGGAAGATTTCCAGTAATGCAAAACACATGCTTTTGTGCAGTACAAACAAGCCCATTTGCGGTATTTAAGCATTTCTCATAAGTGCAGCAAATGGCGTTTGAAGTCAGATGTTGTCAGATATGCTAAGACTCCTGTTCTATTAAGATTTGCATTGGAGGACAAATTCAGTCAAGTATCATATTTTCCTATTACTGCAAACCTACCCTTGGTGTGTTTGTTTTTTTAATAAAGGAAGAGTGATTCTGTGAAGGGACGTCTCAATCATTGTGATACCACAGTTGGAAAAGCCACATCTACCAAATTCTATCTCCTGAATATGTGTGTTTTACTAAATACATGCATCTCCTTCCGTCTGGCTTTGGGCTCATAGCAAATAGAATAAAATGAAATTAAATAAAACACTTTCCCCCACATCTTCTGTGGCTGTCCCAGCATCTCTTATTATTTCAAAAGATCCTAGTAGTTGTAGATCAACAACACACAAGCAGATGAAGTCCAGGAAAATGGAAGAACCGAATACTGCTGGGACTCCCACCCCTAATTCTTCCTTCCCCTCTCCAGAGGTGTTGAAACAGTCTGTATTACCAACAAGCTACTAACCATCTTTTGTTATTTTCATGGGCTCTAAAATTAGTGGATGCTCCAAGCACACACTGTCTAAAAATAACATTCTGAACATTTTGCCCTTTCTAGAGAGAGAAAGTATGCATATAGCGATGGTGTGCATAACTTTCTCACAGAAAGTAATATGCCGGTATGGTAGAAGCCTTATATTAATCCGTGAAGCAGCCATTGATTGTTTATGATTCTGGTCACTGCATTTCAGAAAAAGACGCTGTAAATCCATCAAAGGTGCATAGAAGAGTAATCATCATGATCGACAAACTGCAACAGTCCCCCGTAAGGAAAAGTCACAACATTTGGGACTTCTAAAAATAAATAAAAGAAGGCTGGTAGGAATGTACACAGTGTAGTGAAAATGGCATCCTTTTCATGGTACAGATGGTGAGGTCATCTGTTGAAGCTGGTAGGAGATTTAGGATAAATAAAAACATTGCAATTTTTTTTACATAACAGTTATTAAATTCACTCTTGAAAGATGGGCAGAGGAACACCAATGAGAACAATTTCAAAAAGGGAGTGGATGAAGTCCTATGGTGTAAGGCTAACAATGAGAATTAGTTATAATAACTGCATGTCGCCTGCACTCTCTGAAGCAATATGCCTTTGATTACTAGTGGCTGGAGAACATGGACAGGAGTGGAGGAAGAAACCAGAGGGGCTATCAGAATGGCATTGGAACAGTCCTATCACAATTTGACAATGGTGTGCAGGAGAAGTGGGAACGATGGAAAGAGATAGAGGAAATGCATATTCCATGTTGCCATGAGAGCATCGCCAAGGGAGCCTTGACCCAGGCCTGCTCTGGAGAGGTACCGGATGCATTTGGTGTTGCTTGCTGTGGTGAAAACGTCTATGTCTGGATGACCCCATTTGGTGCACAGTTGGAAAAATACAGTGTCGTTGAG